CAAGTATTAGGAGCACCTCAAGTCAACAGACACTAGCGCCAGCTACAGATGCTGCTGAGGTTGAAAATGGCAACGACACTTCAGGAAATCAACCAAAATTCAGTGATGGGAACGATGAGAATGACGGCAATGATAGCAACGATGGGAACGGTGCAGCAGAAACTAGAACTCCAGTTGTAACTATAACTCCAGCTGTAACTACAACTACAACCACAGAGCAGATTGACCCATCGCCACACCGAATGAAGATGATTCTGGCCTTTATTTTCGTACCCCACGTTGTTGTCCCGGCGATCACGCAGCTCAACTTCAACCTCGGCATGGTGCTTTACGTGGATGACCATCAGAGACGTTATTATTACTGTAACAACATATGGTACTCGACCACGGTCCTTGCTCAAGTCATGCTGACTCTAGTGTATTGTGGCTGGTGTCTTGTCCATGTGGAGCACTGCAAAAACAGGAATGGAGATCTGGCCGTGGTACTGGAGGCTTGCAGATATGATGCATTCTTCACGGAGAATCCCTCTTGCGTCAGTCAATACCACCCACGGGATTTTAGGAAGCTGGAAGGGCAGCACAACTGGATGAAGAATCAGCTAATGGCTTTGATTGCTTGGTTGTTGGTAGTACTATCTCTGACATGGGGCATGTATATTACCAAAGAACGGCATCCAGAAATCGCGAGCATCTCCCAGACTTTGGCAAAGATTTTGGGTAACATCTTGCCAGTCGCTGTCTTCACTGGGCCTGTAAAGAAACGTCAGGTGGCTGCGGCCTTGCGCCACTTCATCTCCTCAGTCAGAAAGATTCTGAGTCGATGCCGCCGCCGCAAGACTGATCACATGCGACTAATGCCTGAGTCGGGTGACATACCGGTGTGCGCTACGGCTACTGATATACCGCTTCAGCTGCTTTGTGAGACTGGCACAGAACTGGCTGATGACACTGATAAGCTTCCGCAGGGCAACGATGAGCAGGCAAAGGCAGCCCACGTGACAGACACTAGCTTCATTGGGAAGTGTGGTCCTCCTGCAGCAGCAGCAGCAGCTGCTGCTGCCACTGCTACGACTGGCACAGACAGCACCGAGATCATAGCACACCAGCAACAACAGCAGCAGCAGCAGCAGCAGCAGCAGCAGTGCTTAGCAAGCCTTCTACCCTCATTACCAGCTGAACCCCGCAACAGACCGGAAAGTGAAATGAACTATCGGTATCTAAGCCCGTTCAACACTTCAGTTGCAGACTCGGAGGATGTGTTCTCCTCGGTCGGGCCAAGCCACGTGCCGAGATCTCGACAGTCAGGAGCAAGTGGTACATCCATGTCGGTAACAGTTCCCCCTGGTCAGCCATACACAGCAAGAGACAGACGCACACAGTCCGCCAGCGTGGCCCTTGACACCGCACGCAAAAGCTACATCGCCAATGCTTACGTGGCAAGGGAAGCAGATGAAGGTGCACAAGCGATGGACAGTGCGTTTGAACTGGCAGTATCACCACCCAAGAGTAGAAAGCATTCCAGCCTTACCACCGAACCGGACGGAGGTGTTGGGCAATCAGTGGGTCAGCAACGTACACGGCGCCCAGGTATAGATAGCACTGGCAGAAGTGTAAGTAGATCAATTCTGTGTCCCATTGAAGAAGTGGATATCATGACAATTTTCAACTCGCAGTCGACTATCTGCAGCCTCCAGCCTGTAAAATCAGTATCTAAGGAGAAGATTACATTTCAATTTGAACGATTGCCCAGTCTGGATAGCCCTCGTTTGGCAAGCGTGGATAGCCCTGGCTTGGCAAGTGCTCGGGATAGCCCTCGTTTGGCAAGCGTGGATAGCCCTGGCTTGGCAAGTGCTCGGGATAGCCCTCCCGTGACAAGTGCTCGGGATAGCCCTAACTTGGCAAGTGCGCGGGATAGCCCTCGCTTGGCAAGTGCACGGAATAGCCCTCGCTTGGCAAGTGCTCGGGATAGCCCTCGCTTGGCAAGTGCACGGAATAGCCCTCAATTGCCAAGTGCTCAGGATAGCCCTCGCTTGGAAAGCCCGGACAGTCTTCACTAAAACGCAGACACGACATGTAGGGTGACTGTTCTGCCCGTAGGTTTACACCGGAAAGGACAGTGTAGCATGAAGCTTCCATACTTGCTTTGTCTTGCCTCTTGGACATACAGGCAATTGAATGACTAATTGCACACAGGTTTTCTCCATGATTCCGTTATTCCGATTTCAGGATTCGTCATTCTGAGTAATGATGAGCTCTCACACTATGAGAATTATTCTATTAGTCCGGCGATAATGAGAGTGACGATAACGGAAATGTCGAAACCAAGGACCTTGATGAGAACAATGATAGTAAGAAGTCTGCTGTGTATCCAAGTTCATGTATTGTCGCTCCCTAAATGTCTGGAGGAGTAAGATGATTCGCCTTTCACTGTACTTTGTCGCACACGATACAAGCGGCAATTACAGGCGCTTGAAGCTGTGTGCATTCGTCGGTATAAGCCAGTTCTATGTAGGCAAAAGAAACTTGTAGTAGCAATAAAGATATATTCGTAAGTTTACACATTGTATATTTTGTGGTAATGTGTAGGTTTCCTAATTATTATCTCACCTCCATGTTCCTGCTCATCTTAGTACTCTGTCGTATAATTGTATCACTCCAATAATCATGTATTGTTCTTCTTTAGTCACGTGTACGCACCGGTGAACGTGGCAAGAAAATCGATTCTAAGTTATGGTAGTCCTTAAAATAGGAATTGATACAACTTGGCTGATACCGATAAAGAGGCAAGATGCTGGCTTCCTCAGAACATTTAGAAGTAATTGCTTGGATGTGTGCACCTTCCGCATTTGGAGCATGCGCTCTGTGCTGTGCAGAACTCATCTGGCACTAATTTCTTAGTTGGCTCATTTTATTCCCAAGCCCATCTCAGATGGATTGACAATACGAAATATGAATATGATAAAAATCATGCTGATATTGATATTTCTGACTGGTTTGAACTGGTTTTAGACAAGAAACGGCTGTTTCGTGTGGGACATGTGCTGCACCTGCGTACTTCTTTACGGCTAATCAGGGAGTCGCAAAATTCTGGTACAGATTTTACTACTCCCTGCTGCCAGCAATAGTAACATACCTTGAGTTTGCTGTACTCCATCAACTGTTTAGGAGTCAAACTGAATGTGGCTACAATAGTCAATATACTAGTGCTCGTCCCAGAGATTTACAACTGGGGGTGATATTTTGGTAGTTGGGCACATGTGCTACCCGTAATTACTGAGTGACTCGGCTGGAGGCCGAGATCTGCACATCCGCGGGAACGTCACCACAGAACGGAGAAAGAAGTTGGGAATGTGCAAGATGATTGCTCAAGGAGAAAATGGGAGCAGAAGAAAAACATAGAGGGTGCAGCTTAGAGGTGAGTGCACACATCTAGGATAATACATACGTACGGAGGTGCTGCATAGTATGAGCCTGATAAAGAGAGAAAACCACAGCAGAACTCCCGGCCCAGCTACGGTGTGGGGACGAGGAAAACAAACTGGGAATGAGAACACAAACGGTGACGTACACATCGGCTAGCACGCGTACTCTGAAGACTAGAAAAAAATACAGTGCAAAATTAAGTTAATGATTTCATGATGTTGACATGATGCTCAAACGTTGTGACATTTTACACGGGGAACTCATACTGAATCAGCTACATAGGCAATGCTGTGTGTCGCTGTGCCTGATATACCCAATACGGTACCGGTGCTACCCAGAGTCGGAAATACCCGAACTTATTACCCGATCAAACCCCTACCCCGATTACCCTAAATTCTACTACTACTGCTACTACCCCCGATTGCCCCCCCCCCCCCCCTATTGTAGCCCAATCTACAACCAAGTAGAGTTAGAACTACATGTACATGTACAACCGCTGTGTACCCTTATTATATTAGTAGACAATGCAAGGGGAGGTTGAACGGTTTGTCTCAGAACGAGCATTTAATATCTAGCAATTACTATCAGGACTTGCACATTTTTCTGCAGTTCTACACCATACATACTCCGAAGCATTGTAAAACCGGAAAGTCATTTTCACTCTTCCTTAGTTTCCCTTTTTCTCTCTAACTATGATCTTGTACATGTACCTTCTTGCTGTTATTCACTTGATGTGGGGCTTAGAATAAAAGACGTTTTAATACTCACGTTAGTACACTCAAACGTCTCTTATCCGGACGCCTCAGATGCGGGCATGTCTCTCTACCGGGCACCTTCGGCTTGAGTTCCAATGGCAAAAGTGCTTCGACTTCGGGGGGGGGGGGGGGGGTTGAACTTTTTTCGTGTGCACAAGTTCTTATCATGTTGTCACTGCCAACCTGTGTAATCCACACATTTTTATCAATGGATTCCTTTTGTTACCTGAATGTGTGCAAATCGTGCCAAACAAACTTCTTCCAAAAACGACATGATACATGGCAGATGAGTTTTCCTAAGATCCGGGCAAATCTGAGTTCTGCCCGGATAAGAGACGTTCAGTATAGTACTGTTGTTCTCCAAGTCACCCCATCCATCACACACCAAGGCAAGGCGAAGGACTTCACTTTCTTCTTAGGTTGGGCTTTTACTTTTTAGTCATGCTAAGTTAGTATTATAGTAAGGATCTGCTGTAGACTGTGTAGTGGTGTGGTGCAGCTGTTACACTTACAGACTCTGTGTTGTATTGGCAGATAACCATGATAACTGGTGCAACTACTAATACTATTGTAGTCATTGTATTTGTAGTACTGTACTGGTACACCGGCGACCACGCATTGTCACCAGGTCACTTGTCAGGCTCAGTGTGACATCCTTACCCGTGTACATGGTGTACGTCGTGTGCCTGCGATATGCGTTCTGACGACGTCGACTCTACAACTATTGTAGTAAAGGCCTAAAATAAGTATCACACACTAGCAGGGAGTATTTTACTACTCCCTGCTCACTAGTACTAGTGCACACCTAGTCCTAGATCAACATACCGGTAATGATTATGTCATGTAGATACCGACTACTACTGGCTATTTTTTGCCATTACATCTACTGATCTAGACTAAAGTAAAGCTTGCCTTACCCGAAATAGCGCAGTACAGTGTGATGATGTCCGTGTCTGCGTTTTGTTCTGACGATAGGTGGAAAAGGCAAGACCTTCGATAAACATTAGAACAAACATTCCCTCCACGCTGCTGGTAGTGTCTCTGCTGCGTTCAAATCAATTCCTTCTACGCCGTTGTCAACTGTGGCTACTGCGAGGAAACAAACGAATCATCGAATGCCGCCCATTACTGTCGCCGCCACCCGTACCGAATTGTTTCGGTGAGCGCTGAAGCCATCAGCGATGGAGTGGTCCCTGCCTCGCTTGTTTGATGCACTTGGCGGTGTGCTGCTCACGGCTATCATCGTGCATCACCTGGGGCTCGACGGAATGCAGCGGATCGGTACCCAGGCACTGGTACTGACGAAGAGCGACGACAATTTTTACGGACCGTGCCGCGCGGAGTCCAGCTGCCGGGGCCGAGTCGGGAGTGTAGTGTTCGGTGGTTTCTTCCCCTTGCGAGAGTGGAACTACACGAATTCCTCCTGCTCGCATACAATCCGACCCGAGGGGTTTCAGCGGATGGAAGCTATGCGTTGGGCTATAGAGCAGTATCGCTCTGATCTGGACGTTGGTTACGACTTGCGCGATAGCTGTTCGAAGAATACGATCGTTCGTGACAAGTCTCTCGACTACACCAACGAAAGAGAACAGTGTCACGACAAGTTCGCTGGTCGTCCCGTGTCTCTGGTTATTGGATCGTCGGAAAGCGACTGTACGAACACGCTTGCCACGATGCTTTCGATCTTCGACGTTCCTGTCATCAATTACGCGTCGACGTCGAACAACATGAACGGGACTGCGCAGCGAGAACAGGAAAGTTTTGGCAAGTTTTTTCGCACAGTCCCACCAGACCGGATCCAGATCGGAGCAATGATTGCCGTGTTGGAACACTTCAACTGGACGTTTATCACGTTTGTCCATGGTACAGACGAGTATGGCAAATATGCACGCGACTGGATGAGGAAACAAGCCTCCAACGCTAGCTTCTGTGTGGCTGCTGAGATCGAGCTGGATATACAGAAGCCGGGAAATCCCCCTTTCAGACAAGCTGTGACTAAGCTGAGTGAGACTTGGACACGGAACGCTAGTGTGGTGATTGTGTTTGCCCAGCACTATGTGACTCGGCTGTTCTTTGAACAAGTAGAAGCGTTTGCTAGTAATCAATCAGCAGACATCAAGGCCAACCTGTATGAGCGCATATGGATAGCTTCGGACGCCTGGTCTGGCAATGTACCGTTGGCTCAGCGCTTTCCTGCTCTGCTGGAAGGACGACTTCTTGCCTTCCAGCCGTACACCGGTATTGATGATGGATTCAACCAAGACCTTGCAACATCCCCCTTTGAAAGCTTCCCAACGGGCAAGCGTAATGTGTGGTACAGAAGATACTTTGACTACTTGTTCGGTGAAGGCAATTACAACGCATCCACCACTGCCGAAGAAAGCCCACTATTCTACATAGATGCCAAGGTGCCATTGGTTATCCGTTCTGTTATTATCGCTTTGCAGGCATTAGAGAGTGTGCTTGAGCAACAGTGTGGAAACAAGACCATATGCAGTGCTGTGAACGACACAAGCAAAGGAGTCCTTGTTGGCCCCGACCTCATTAATGTCCTGCGCCAGAATGTGTTCTACTCGCCGTTTGATCAGATGAGATTCAAGTTTGAGGGGCGAGATAGCCGATCATTTGTACCCTTTACAGGTTCTAACTTCACGTACAGTATTCTGCATTACCGGAAGAATGAGACCGCATCCGATTCTAGCGCTGACTTTGTCAACATTGGAACGTGGGAGGCCAGTGGAAGACCTATCACGGTTGACGAACTCCCCAAGAAGGGTCTTCAACGTTTTTACCGTGAAGGTGAATGGATTCAAACATTCGAGGAGTTGAGCATTGATGATGGTCTTTCGGAGTCGAGCCTGATGGGAAAGCGTTCAATGTGTGCCGTACCTTGCCGCCCAGGGACTATTCCTATCACACATCTTGCGGTGAAGGGCGGGTGTTGCTGGTCATGCAAGAAATGTGAACAGTTCCATATATCGAAAGAGGGACAGTGCGTACGCTGCGGCGAGTTAGAGACCCCGGATGCGACTCAGTCTGTATGTGTGAATCTGGTGCCGCGCCATCCACACTACCTTGATCCCTTTCCCAAGGCGATTTGGTCCATCTCGGCACTCGTCTTTTTCATCCTCACTCTATTTCTCATTTTCTACGTTAGCAACTGGGACGCGCCAGACATCCGTGCCACCAGCCGAGACTTGACGGTGTGTTGTTTTGCGGGCATGTATCTAGCCCTGGCCGGTGTCTTAGTGCACCTTGCTGCACCCAGCACTGCCGTGTGTGGTGTGCGCCGCTATCTTCTCACAGTACCGCTCAGTTTCTGCTATGGGGCCATGGTCATCAAGACGAATCGCATCTACAGGCTGTTCGCCCGCTCGAAGCGCAAGGGCTTGAAGCGGAAGGTGAAGTACACCGAACCGTATATCCAGTTCCTAATCACCACTGCACTCGCTTCAATTCAGGTGAGAATTGTATTGCATGGTTTGATTTGGGCTTTTGTCATTATTTCTTTTAAGAAGATTACACGAGGAGAGACAAGACCATGGCAGCAGGTTCTGGGGAATCGCGCTAAAAAGAAAAGCATAACAATATCCAGAAGGACAAATGAGAATGAGACAAGAATGAAGAATAAAGATCTTGCTTCAAAATTGCAGCTTGAATGTTTCAAATCTGTGCACTCTTCTCTTTCCACAGATGGTGCTAACAACAATCTGGACGGCCTCAGCACCTCCGAAAACTGTGCTTCTCGTCAAGACGCCAAATGTAGGGACGCTGATGTGTGCTTGTTTCCGGTGCTAGCTGAGCTACACAGTGCTGCCACGGCTAGACTGCTGCTCATCATGTGCTGCTGTGCTAGATCACTGCTTGTCTGCTGGCGGGCTAGGCTTGGAGCTCACAGAGATTGGTAATATGCACGTGCACTGAGGAGTTTAACGTCACGGGGCAGCAGTTTAACGTGGGCAGCAGTATGCACCGGGATACTGGTTTTAAAAGTAGAGCATGCTGCTGCTGCTGCTGCTGCTGCTGCTGCTGCTGCTGCTGCTGCTGCTGCTGCTGCTGCCTGTATTCTAAATAATTGCAAAAACTGAAAACACTGGACAGTCTAGCCCTGATTCAAAAAGAAAACACTGGACAGTCTAGCCCTGATTCAAAAAGAAAACACAGGACAGTCTAGCCCTGATTCAAAAAGAAAACACAGGACAGTCTAGCCCTGATTCAAAAAGAAAACACTGGACAGTCTAGCCCTGATTCAAAAAGAAAACACTGGACAGTCTAGCCCTGATTCAAAAAGAAAACACTGGACAGTCTAGCCCTGATTCAAAAAGAAAACACTGGACAGTCTAGCCCTGATTCAAAAAGAAAACACTGGACAGTCTAGCCCTGATTCAAAAAGAAAACACTGGACAGTCTAGCCCTGATTCAAAAAGAAAACACTGGACAGTCTAGCCCTGATTCAAAAAGAAAACACTGGACAGTCTAGCCCTGATTCAAAAAGAAAACACTGGACAGTCTAGCCCTGATTCAAAAAGAAAACACTGGACAGTCTAGCCCTGATTCAACGTACATGTCCCTTGTCATTGAGTGGGATACTGTAAAACCAGAAAGTCTAACGACCAAAACGTTTTAAAAACATTTTTGTAATTTTGGCATGATTACATGCAGAAAGTTTAACGGTGGCTACCTGGCCACCCATCTGTATGCGCATCGCTGCACAGACATCTAGCGATAACGTATTTTTCAAATATCGAAAAATAATTGGTCGTTAAAACGTTAGACTTCGTGACTCGTTAGACTTTCCGGTATTACGGTATGTATTTACCAATAGATTTACAAACTTGACGGGAGTAGGCAAAGCAATCAATCCGAATTGGCTTGATCATGCCAATGGCAAAATGGCAATCTCATGACAATCATGCTGGTGACTGTTCTGAACTGGTCCTCGGTGTGTGTGTGTGTGTGTGTGTGTGTGTGTGTGTGTGTGTGTGTGTGTGTGTGTGTGTGTGTGTGTGCATGTGCATGTGTATGTATGTGCGTGAGCGTGTACGCATGTGTGTGTGTTTGTCTGCTTGTTCCTCGGCTGCAAAGGTTGCCGTTAATACGATATGCAATGAGGAAATGAGCTTGGGTTTCTATGGAACGTTACTGTACAACTTGATGCTGGTGGTTGCTACTCTTCTCTACAACAACTCTACTCCGCTGAGTACGCCCGAGAAGTTCAACGAACGTCGCTTTATCAAGTTAGCGTTCGCAGCACCTTTTCCTGTGTGGGCAATCGTGATTGCGTTAGGAAACACCACGGACAAGAATCTTGTTAGTCTGTTCATAGCTGTGGCTGTGCTAGCTTCCGTGGCGATAATGGCCATCTTTCTCTTCCTTCCTAAGGTATGTGCTGCTGTTATGCCCAGCTTGCGTGCAGCCTGGCTAGTGATATTCATGGATGCAACCCCCTTGCTGACAATGTCCATAGATGGATACATATGCATACGTTTAAATAGAGACTTAGTCGGAGGGAAAGATATTAGCACACGAAGAGACGAAGCCAGTTGAAAATCTGACTAGGCATTTCATACCATTACTTCTCAAATCAGTACAGCTGTATAAATTGACATCATTGTGCTTCGTCACAATATCACCATGACAACCTCGGCTCTTTTTTTGGCCAATCTTACCTGTGATTTGTTGCGTGTCCAGTGTATTTATTGTTGTGGAAATGCCCTGAGTCTTTGACTTTGATTCCTTGGTGGATGACTCCAAGAAGAAACACGGCATAGCTGCAACCTTAGGTATAACAACAACTCACGAATAACGACAATCATGATCTTCCGACCTAGCCACCAATACTGCATACTTTCAACTTGACGAAAAGCGACAACTCGTGAATAGCGGCACTTGTCTCATGCTTGATCGAGGGTCGTTATTCGCAAGATTGCCATGAACAAGGCAGTACGAGTAGTCTACTAAATTACTCACCTATGATAAAGTTCTTTTGCACTACTCGCACGCCACTGTAGTGTGACCAGTACAGGACCCGTATCTCGGACGACTCTTGTCTAATTTTGAAGCACAAAGCAAACATGAACCTGTGTATTCTGAACCATCCATACACATGCAGCTCAACCATCCATACATGCAGGTCAAACTGCAGAGCTACTATTGGGAGAACAGATGAACAGGCCCCGATACAGGGACTGGCATTGCTTCTGTGTTCATCTGATCATAATGGTCATTATGGTCATATTGTCAGGATTGCTGCGTGTGCTCAACTGTCCTTTGCTTGCAGTACTATCGCTTTTTAGCGGAGAAGTACGGCCAAAGATGCATGAAAATGTTCACCAGGTTTGTTAACGGAGATACCACCACGTCTTCTGGCACGGACGATACACAACCGACTGGTGAAGGTACACCACAGAATGAGAATAGTTATCCGATATCGCCGGTCGAATCACCAGTCAAGTCTGTGAGTTCTTTCCAACATCACTACGAAAGCGTTGGTCAAATCGCTAGTGAGCGCTCTCTTGGCGTACAGAGACGATGTAGGTTGAAACTTGACCACCTCTGTTGTCCTTTATTAACAAGCTACTAATTGTGTGTATGTATGTGTGCGTGTGCGCGCGCGCGCGCGTGTGTGTGTATGTGTGTGCTGGTGTGTGTGTGTGTGTGTGTGTGTGTGTGTGTTGGTGTGTGCATGTGTGCGCATGCGTACATGAGTGTGTACATGTGTACATGCGTGCATACGCCCTTGCGTGCGTTGTGCATGTGGACATGTGGACATGTGGATTAGAATGGGATGCAGTGAGGAAAGCGATTTGCTGTGTACGTCATAGCTTTCTTCAAAGTTTTAAGAGCGTACTGCAGGGTATAATTTCCCCATTGAAATTTGTGAGCCAATGTTAAAATCATTGCCCCAGGCTCTAGTCCACAAACCTGGGGAAACATCGAAGAATATGTGTGAAATGCAACAAAGCTGTCACTGTCGATGTTAACAGATCTCTGCACTGTAGACAGTCAGGGATAAGATGTTTCTAATGCCGTAACATTGCCAGAGTTCGATTCCTGCTGTTGACTTGTTCTTTGCTTTATGCTTGACCTTTCCCAGGTGCACAAGTAGCTGGATCCACCGCGCAGTAGGCAGTCCAAGTCAATAGAACTTCCCAGCTCGTTGGCGGTAAGTACACTCAGCATAGGGTCTAGCTGTGTGGAATGAGCAGTTTGGTGCTGTGTTTGCTGCCAATGTCATCCCATGACAATAATTCCTATTTTGTATCCTGGGATTCCAGTGATTCCAGTCATTCTATTGAATAGTAAAAAGTAGTAAATGCACTTTTGCGTCCGGTCCGTCGTTTTGAGACAACACACATACACACGCTCACGCACGCACGCACGCACACACACACAAACACACACACACTATTCGGACAAACGAAGATGTACAAAACGAAATGAAAAAATATGCCGACTATACTGCTGCTTGTAGTTGGTGAGAGACAACACAAAGTGTTCTTTGAGTAGTAGTGAAATATTGGCATCAGTGTTAACAACAATTGAATGTTTAGTCCAGTCTTGGCGCATTTGTGTCCTCAATGTCGCAATTTCTCGCAAATGTAGCTGCAGAGCTGCCTCCACGTTGGCCTGTCCCAAGCTGCCCCCTGCAGCTGGTGGAGGTTCTGCAGGGTCTCCTGTTGTCCTTGACCCGTTGACTTTAAGTCCGATGACACAGTATATGTGAGGGCCGTCTGGAGCCTTCCTCGCCATATGCCGCTCTCAGATGCAAATTATCACGCCACTCGGCTCCAACTGTGCGGGTGCCTCCATCTGTAATCTCAGCACATGGCCAGAGAGGTGCCATCATGACTCAAGCACCAGGTTGCTAATAGGCCCAGCATCGCAGCGCTTGTACAAGGCTATGTTCGATATTTTCTGTGACGAAAGGGAAGGGAAACAAAGACAGTAGACATGCAAGTATGAGTAGAGCCAAATGGAGACAGCATGTGTAACAAATGGAGGCATGTGTAACAAATGGAGGCACATGTAACAAATGGACGCATGTGTAACAAATGCCGCGGCATGTGAAGGAGAACAAAAAGTGCGGCACAGCAGCATATACAAACGGGAGCCGAAAAGTGATGCATACACTGGGGGATACAAGTACCGTGCTGCGTTGTGGGGCCCAAACGGGCGCACGGTTCTGAAGACCCTCTGTTATTTTGTGTTCTGTTTGACCGTCTTTGAAGTTGTACATTGTACTGTTGAGGCAACGAACTACTTGTAAAATAAATCAAAAACAAAAAAAGGACAATGAGTCGCACTACACACTGAAGCAACTGGCGGCACCGCACCATGGGATCCAGACGGGCGCAAAGGCGACGAGGGAGAGGAGATGAGCACCACCCTCACTATGTGGAGCTCATTGAAACATGGGGGGTCTCTAACACCTCTTGCCTCTACGGTCAGAATTGACTATGGGCCGCTAGCTTTTCCTTTACCCGAGTTTAGTGCAATGGCGATCGTATGGAGAGTTCAGAGTGAGGTGAATGTACAGGGGTTCAGACCCACGTGTTTAGTCGTGAATAATTCTCTTTTTATCTCAAAGTCTTTCACTGCACAGCAGCCGGGACGGGGAAGTATGTGGACATTCTGAACTTAAAAATTTCCACAAGTTTGAGGGATTGGAAATGGAAAAAAAGCCTGAAGAAAAATTGACTGTCACCACCAGGACCCGAAGCAGGGACATTTGCTATACAGTACTGTCGGGCGCGAAGAACAGACGGTCGAAGAACAGACGGTCGAAGAACAGACGGTCGAAGAACAGACCGTCGAAGAACAGACGGTCGAAGAACAGACCGCCGAAGAACAGACCGTCGAAGAACATAACCGCTGAAGAACAGACCGTCGAAGAACAGACCGTCGGAGAACAGACCGTCGAAGACCAGACCGCCGAAGAACAGACCGTCGAAGAACAGACCGCCGAAGAACAGACCGTCGAAGAACAGACCGTCGAAGAACAGACCGTCGAAGAACAGACCGTCGAAGAACAGACCGCCGAAGAACAGACCGCCGAAGAACAGACCGTCGAAGAACAGACCGTCGAAGAACAGACCGCCGAAGAACAGACCGCCGAAGAACAGACCGCCGAAGAACAGACCGCCGAAGAACAGACCGTCGAAGAACAGACCGTCGAAGAACAGACCGTCGAAGAACAGACCGCCGAAGAACAGGCCGCCGAAGAACAGGCCGCCGAAGAACAGGCCGCCGAAGAACAGGCCGCCGAAGAACAGGCCGCCGAAGAACAGGCCGTCGAAGAACAGGCCGTCGAAGAACAGGCCGTCGAAGAACAGGCCGTCGAAGAACAGGCCGTCGAAGAACAGGCCGTCGAAGAACAGGCCGTCGAAGAACAGGCCGTCGAAGAACAGGCCGTCGAAGAACAGGCCGTCGAAGAACAGGCCGTCGAAGAACAGGCCGTCGAAGAACAAGCCGTCGAAGAACAGACCGTCGAAGAACAGACCGTCGCCAGGCTAGAATTTCACCATTTTTAAGGAACGATCTAGCCGGCTGGATTTTTTGCAGATAAGAACGGAAACCGTAATGTGCACAGTAAAGTACCCTCAGACGTATAACTCTGCATAAATGTACATGTAAGACTGTACCATCGAATAAGAACGAAACGTCTGTGTTCGCTAAAAATAAGAACGGGCTAGGCTAGAACCCTGACCCCCCCAGTTCTTCGGCGCCCGTCAGTACTGTAGGCCAGAGCAGAGACCTTTGCTATAGGCCAGAGTGCCACTCTAACCACTCACCTATGGTGCATAGGAGTCATCTTAGCCTTAGCGACTGTTCAACATTTCCTCTGGCTTTGTCTTCAATGACATTTCCTCCTTGCTCAGCTCCTAATCAACAATTAAATGCCGTGAATGTTTGATGCTTTTAATGGAATTGAAATTCCATTTGCCAGTGTAATGCGGGTCAATATGACATTTGCCAGTGTAATGCGGGTCAATATGACATTTGCCAGTGTAATGGTCAATATGACATTTGCCAGTGTAATGGTCAATATGACATTTGCCAGTGTAATGGTCAATATGACATTTGCCAGTGTAATGCGGGTCAATATGACATTTGCCAGTGTAATGCGGGTCAATATGACATTTGCCAGTGTAATGCGGGTCAATATGACATTTGCCAGTGTAATGCGGGTCAATATGACATTTGCCAGTGTAATGGTCAATATGACATTTGCCAGTGTAATGGTCAATATGACATTTGCCAGTGTAATGGTCAATATGACATTTGCCAGTGTAATGGTCAATATGACATTTGCCAGTGTAATGGTCAATATGACATTTGCCAGTGTAATGGTCAATATGAAGTGACACATGAAGCAACACCGCATTTGGCAACTACAACGAGTGGATTTTGCCCTGTCACCACAGTGCTCTTAGCAGTGCAATCACGGCCCGGCATAGTGTGCCAAGCCGCCGGCTACTGTCAATCACCTGGTTACTTAGCAGTGCAATCACGGCCCATAGTGTGCCAAACCGGCTACTGTCAATCACCTGGTTACTTAGCAGTGCAATCACGGCCCGGCATAGTGTGCCAAGCCGCCGGCTACTGTCAATCACCTGGTTACTTAGCAGTGCAATCACGGCCCGGCATAGTGTGCCAAGCCGCCGGCTACTGTCAATCACCTGGTTACTTAGCAGTGCAATCACGGCCCGGCATAGTGTGCCAAGCCGCCGGCTACTGTCAATCACCTGGTTTCTTAAAAAAAGCTATGCATCTATCGACTCGCAAAATGAGGTGCAAACAAGAATCGGTCGAGGTGGGGGAGGGGGGGGGGGGAGCACTGCAACAATGGCCGTGGCAGATCAAAGCCAAACGACCGACCTGCACGATACGCACCAGGTCCTTGATAGTACAGAACAGCAGCAAACTTTGCCTGCTGCATTATACGTTCTCCCCTGTTTTCAGTTTCGGAAAAATGTTGAACGGTCCCTGCTGGGATGATGACTCAGATTAGTAGTGGATGACTGCTGGCCTAAAGTGAAGTTGGATCCCTGCAATGAGCCGTGATGGTGATAGTCAATTTGTTCTTCAGGAATTTCACTTTTCAACTGAGGCCCCCTCAACTAACTTAATGAACACACCGGCGAAGTCTTGTTTTCCTTCATTGTGTTCTACAGGCCGGTGCTAACACTCTCAGTCTAGCTACAACTGCATGCGGCCATCTGTGTGTACGTTTATTGGCTGAACTGACTTGATTTGCGCCGGATAATTGTCATTGGTGAGGAATCGGTTTCTGAGCCAGTCTGGCATATCGTTGCCTCGGATGTGGCGAGCACTGCCCGTGCAGGCAAGTAATCCAGCAAGCAAGGCTCCTTGCGTTTATTCAGCGTCCAGCGAAAGCGTGGGCTGTTGCCAAGGTTATTTGCAGACTTGGGACAACAGTCACGGCTGGCCAAGTGCCGGCTTGAAAACGCCACCGTCACGGTTTGTGTTTCGGAGCGTGTTGACTTGCTCAGTACTACGGTAGTATGACTGTTCCAGCAATCTGGTGCACTTGTCCTCGGGCATTGGTAGGTTACCGGGAGGTCCCGGGCTATCAGTGAGGAGTTTAGTAATGTGCACAGAGTGTATAATAGTCAATGTACACTGAATACTTACTTCTACAAAGTCTCAGTCAGTTTGGAGATTGAATCTGACAGCAACAGCTTCAGAATTTTTGCTGTAGAGCTATTTTACAACAAGGCTTCTTTGTTTCTAACTTTAATTCCTTGTCAGGGTCTCCTACACCCTGTTTAATATCCGTGATCGAATTGAATGATGGAGATTGTATCCACTGTTGTCACATTTCATGTTTTCCATAGGTTCTCAACATTCTTCTTTTGAGAGTGCTGCCCTTGAGTGTGCGGAGTGTCAGCTTCAGTCCTACTCAGCAGATTCCAATACATGTCCATCATACCAAGTTACTAAGGCTGTGCAAACATGTTTTTGTAGCATAGGCATAGCACAGCCTTGTTTTGCACCTCGTCTGGCGACAGGCTGGTGTGCTTATGCTGGTGTGATACTGCCAATGTTGGCAGTGAGCAAGTACACATTTGTGTGTATGTGTGTGTATGTGTGTCACCGTATCATGTGTGTGTGTGTCACCGTATCATGTGTGTGTGTGTGTGTGTGTGTGTGTGTGTGTGTGTGTGTGTGTGTGTGTGTGTGTGTGTGTGTGTGTGTGTATGTGTATGTGTGTGTGTGTGTGTGTGTGTATGTGTGTGTGTGTCCGTGCGTGTCCGTGTGTGTCCGTGTGTGGGCCTGTGTCAAACTGTTTGTTGATTGGAGGGGGGGGGGGGCGTATGAGTGTGCATGGAGTTATTCCCAGCATCAACTTACTTTCAGTGAGTTTCATGCCACTAGTACTTACTAGTAGTAGTAGTGACACTACTGCACTACTGCACTAGGGATAGGTAGGGATAGGTAGGGATAGGTAGGGATATGTAAGGATAGGTACTGAAACTGCTGATGCCGGCATAGTAAGAGGTACATGTACTTCATTATGCTACAAATTTTATTGTCACACTGATGTACAATGAAGATCTTCACCGTGCCACTGCGGAATGTCACAGACTGTCAGTAGCCATATTGTTGCAGTGCGCAAGGCCCCGCCCCTGCCTAGTATTGCCATGCATCGTACGTACCAGTAATGGCAGCATTCATGTCAGTTACATCATTGTGGTACAGTATGTGTGACTGACTCAGTGACTAGATCCGAGAGACTCTGCAGTTTATGTGTCGTGAATCCTCTGGCTCTGCATCTCTCGTCTCAGTCTGTGTGTGTGTTGCGCGTAGATCTAAGCTACTGCTAGCGCTGTGGCTTTACTTGGCCTGGCTGGCATACTGCCTACTGCCATGGTGATCAAGATGATGGGTGGTACTGGTACATAATAATAATAATAATAATGGTCTTGACATCCATCACTTGCCCGCATACTAGTTACTACCTGAGCCGAGGCTGACACGATGACATCGATTGATTGATACATTGTATCAATCAATCAGATCATGTCACATGTGGCCCAGGGCCATGGGGCATGGGCCATACCAAGGACAGCCAGTATTAGTAGTACTATTACTATTACAGCCTATACAGGGCGTCATGTTTTAGTTGTGGAAACAATGACTATGTCAATGAGTACCGGTAAGGCGGTATGTCCCGTACTGGACCTGGACTGGACCTGGACGTGGACGTCTCTAGTGGACTGCAGCTGAGTGATGGTATGTGTTTGCATTTTTGTAACGATGTAGAATGCAGCGGAGTGCGGAGAACTGAAGTGAAGGCTGAACGGTCAAGTCTTGATACGAATGACCGGCCGGCCTATGCCATGGCAGCATGATAATACACGTACTGGGCACTCAGTACAGTATGTAGTCTATTGTAGATCTACAAAATAATAGGATCATCATGATCATGCACGTGCCGCGCGCTAGCTCTGCCGGCATCGCGACGCGCGACCCGGCCCACGTTCCCACATGACCACCTGACCTCTGTTGACTGCATATGCATGGACTGGTACGCTGGCACGATCCGACTCTGTAGATCTACCAGTACTGCAGTGCACTAGTCTACACGTATACGATCTACGATGAATGACTATGTCACAGTATGTGTACTCATCTGATGTGACGTACACAAAAATCGCGCTATCATGTTCAGTTCGATCGCGCGATCTCCATCCGGAGAACAGTTTTCAGTTTTCACCTTTGACTTTGGCTTGAACATTTCACTCGAGCAGTTGTTTGGAGGCGTTCTAGTTCTTGGCACTTATTATTTTTTTAGCTCTAAACCAACCAGGAATGGAGAAAGAAAAGTCTATCAGTCGTGCTTGGTGCGATGGATGGTGCGTATTATCTGGGGCGATATCCATTCCCACGAATTGTTGCTCAAGCCAAATTCCCTCGTTTTTTGCTCGGATTTTGTTATATTTATCTGTAGCTTTGACATGGTTCACTTTGGACATGCAAACTTCCTTCGACAGGTGAGCAATTCTGAGTGCTTGTCGCGACTGGCGTAGAGAGTGTACGGACTGATGTAGTGCTATTAGCCCTACGGATAGATCACAGGTGTTCGTAGAGTTGCAGTCGTAATATTCAAGAAGTTCATTGACCAACTTTGGCAGAGATCATATCAACAAGATATTCACTGGAAGGATCAATCAAAACCTATGTTTGGGCTGCTCTTTGGGCATACTCGATTTGAAAGGAATCTTCAAACATGATCCCAGTTGCACACACAATAATTATAGTCGGCCTAATTTGGATCTTTCTCCGGATAAGGATTGGTGATGGAATGTTGAAAAGTAACGTTGAAGACAGTGTTGTTACTGTAAAAGAATCCCATAATAACGTCTGTGGGCAATGGCAATGTTGCAGACTTCTTTTCATCCTGGCAGCTACAGTAGACTTGTATATATTTTGTTGGCTTTTTGCAACTGATACCATAAAAAGTGCCTTGAGAGCGCCCCGCCGTCAAGAGACAAATCCAGCCAATGCGGTACAGTACATGGTACGCATGCACTACACCGATACACACACCCTGCGTACTGTGATACAGTCAGTGCAGCGCTGCTACGTGAGGTGCGTATACACATGGCAAAGTGTACTTGTCTTGACAACACAAACACAGGTCACAGAAATTAGCTGAAAGAACGATTGATCGAAGCTCAACTCAAAAAGACCAAAGCGTGAAAGGCGGCTCAAGAGCACACACTGACTCTCAAATCAGACACAGCGGCGAGGATGTGGATTTAGGAGACAACTGGCGATTCTTGACGACGGGCGTCCCTTGGGTGCCAGAGTTCAAGCCATTGGGGCCCAACACAACACATGGCTCGTCGATCATAAATACAGTGTGAGTGAGCAATAGGCTTTATAGCACGTGACAAGAAAACTAACACACGACATGAAGGCATGCTACCACCGCGTACCGCACCACTGTACTTGTATTGGCATTGGCCGGATTTTTTTTAGTCTGTGAGGAACGCAATATCCTCGGCACGGAGCGCCACTAATCTCTTCAACTTTTCGAGAGGAGTAACTAGTCACTAATTCTGTTGTGCATTGTAGCATATTTGCGCAGTGTAGCAAATATCGTCATCCCAAACCGGGTGAGCAGCGTGTGATATTAAACCTTCAGCAATAGACTAGTGTGGTACAGTCAACTTCGCTTATAACGACACTCGGCGGGGCATCAGAAAAGTGTCCGTATTCGTGAAGTGTCGTTATACCCGAAGTCTCATTATAATGTATTACAGCTACATGGGACTTTGCTCTGGGCATGGAAATTCTGTCGTTATTCGCGAATTGTCGTTATATCCGCAGTCGTTATTAGGGAAGTTGACTGTATGTTGAAATCCAACCGTGGGCGCATTTGTGACTTCTTTGTACTTCACTGGCTGTTGTTTCTAACGTCCTATTGTCCACTTTGCTTCTTTGTCTCGTTCAAGGCATCCAAAATGTGTGACGAGCTCTATGTTGGAGTCCACAACGATGGTATGTTGATGTGCACGTGTCTGATCAGTCGGCTGGGGATTGGGGTGAACGAACCCGGTACTTTACAACTTGTGCAATGCTGCACACTGCACCGTATGGGCTGGCTGTGTTGTTGACTTTGGCAGCTACCAGAACATATTCCTCAGTTCTGTGAGCATTACTTCATTTGAATTTTTGGGATGAAAGTCAGATTGAACGCCGACCTTTAAGCAATCTCTGATACTGTACACTTGCTTTTCTCCTTTTTTGTAGAGGAGATTGCAAAGAACAAAGGTCCACCTGTCATGACCATGGAGGAAAGGTATGGCTCTGAGAGAGAGAGAGACAGGGACAGAGAGAGAGACAGAGAGAGAGACTGAGAGAGAGACTGAGAGAGAGAGACAGAGATGTGCATCATGCCTGTGTGTTTGAATGCTTGGTGAATCTGACTGCATTGGTCGTTGTGACAATAATGATTTGTCTTGGACTCTTGGTATTTGGTCAGTTGTAGTTGGCGATATGCTCTGTTCGGTACTGTCAAATCCGCCCTTGAGCATGGGAGTATCTGGTAATTGTGTTAATGGCCATGTGCTCTTCTGCTTATGGGTTGTGTGTAGGTGATCCATTTAAAATGTTAGTTGGCCCGGCAAGATGAGATTGCTGTAACCAACCTCTTTGTTTATCTTTGTTTATGCCATTTATTATGATGCTTTGCTACAGAATAACTATGGTGGAAGGAATCAAGTGGGTGAAAAAGGTACATACCTTTCGCTAAATCGTCTCTTGTTTGATATTTGCAATAATCTTTTAGAGCTTCCTAGTCCTTGGGATGGATGGACTGCAGAGTAGGGATCTGCAATTGTAGTGCAGTCGTAATGCTTCAATTGCATGTACTGTATGCCTAGATTTATTTATCATGGTATACACCATCCTTGTTTTGTTCCTTTGTGTTTGTGTGGTGACAAGCTGTGTGTTTGTGTGTGTGTGTGTGTGTCCGTGCGCATGTGTGTGTCGGTCTATTCTAGTCTAAAGACTCTTGCTCCTGTTGTGTGATCCGGCTGGACCCGTGCCGGTGGGTCATTGCATGGATATGATGTCAAGCTTTGACTGAATTGTGTGTTTGTGTGTGTTTGCTTTCAGGCTGTGCCGGATTCCCCGTACATCACCACCTTGCATACTCTTGAGGATCACAAATGTGACTTTTGCATTCACGGAGGTGAGCGTTTACAGTACAGCCAGTATTCTTGTTCTTGTGTGATGGTACATGTACCAGTTGTGTTGCTCAACCGCCATGCAACCCTGTACATCATACCAAGAGTACATACCCGTAACCTCCAAGAATAGGGAGGTTTCGCTCTACGGATTTACGTATGAAAATAACGTAGGAACTGCACGTAATTTTCATACGTAAAGATCAGCGCTGTTGGGTTTCGCTCTACGTGATTTCTCCACGACTGCTAAACATGCCTTGTTGCTTTGGAGACGCGTTGGCTGCATGCGCCCACCGCATGCACCACGAACCGAAACCGCGTTTTCCATCGTATTTTCACGTGGTGTACGGTGTGTGTACCTTGTGTTTCGCGCGGCTTGAATTTGCCATGGATAAATTCCGAAAATGCTAAAAAATATTTCAAAAAGTCCTGCGGAGGGGCCAACGTAGGAAACAGCTTTCCTACGGAAATCCGTAGAGAGTTTTACGTATGAAAGTTGCCCTCGCTCCCCGGCGTGTACGACATACGGATTTTCATACGTAATTGCGTAGAGCGAAACCTCCCTAATATGTAACTGCCTGCGCAACCTCAGTGCTGTGACAACGGCAGAACTTCACATCACGTGACATGGTTCAATGGGTTACGCTGGTAAACAGTGCAAAGTGACCACAAGAGAGTTGAACCCAAAGCAAGGTTGCGTACGACCCTGCATCTATCATGCACAGGGTGCAAATAATGTGTACGGGTTCGTCACATGATGTGAAGTTCTGCCGTCGCAGACCCCATCGCTGGAGTTGCACACTCTTGGGGGTTATGTACTCTTGATCATACCAAAACGAAGGAAGAGTACACAACCCCAAGAGGTGCAAGGCAACTCCAGCTCCTGCGACGGCAGGAATTCACTTTACGTGACAAACCCGTACACATCATTTGCACCCTGTGCATGACAGATGCAGGGTCGTACGCAACCTTGCTTTGGTACTTTGGGTTCAACACTCTCGTGGTCACTTTGTACTGTTTACCAGTGTAACCCATTGAACCATGTCATGTGATGTGAAGTTCTGCCTTTGTCACAGCAATGTATAGAGGTTGTGCAGGCAGTTGCACACTCTTGGTGGTTATGTACTCCTGATGTTAGATGCAGAGTTGTGTGTAACCCTGCTCTGGGTTCAACTCTCTTGTGGCCACTTTTTCAGTGTTTGCCATCGTATCGCGTGATGTGAAGTTCTGCCATTGCAGCCTGTATAGAAGTTGTGCCGGCAGTTGCACGCTCTTGGGTTTTTCATCTACTATCATGACCTGCATTCCTGAACTTATTGTGAATGTACTGTATGATATGCTGGTCTGTTCAGATGATGTAACACTTGATGCTTCCGGCCAGGATACATACCGATATGTAAGAGAGGCGGGTCGCTTCAAGTAAGTCGTTTCAGACCTTCACTCTTAAAATGTAAAAAATCAGATCCCTAAAAATGTCATGTTCGTAGCAACTCAGCTTGGGATTTGTTTGGACACACTACATCGACCTGGACATGTACTGGTATGTGCATGCACATGCACGAGATGTTTTGTACGCACTGGACCTTACCATTCATGGCACTACCTGAATACCCCATGCTTTGCGAATAGTAGTCCTCACTTTTATTCGAGAGGGGATTCTAACCAGTGAGTATGGTAGTTTACAATGTGATTAGCTCGCCTTCCAGTACTTTTTTTTCAGGATAATTTGGAGATATTGCTGATGCCAGGTATGCAAGGGAAATCAATGACGTGAAGCGTACCTATTCCTCCGACTGGCTTCATGTCATTGGGAGAGCTTGCTGTCGACGCTTTAGTTTTGCCTTTGATCACGGACATGCAAAGTGTACAATAACGGACGGGGTGCAGTGATCAGTATACTTCAGGTCTGGATAGTTTTGTTTTGCAGGTTGGACCTGGATAGTTTTGTTTTGCAGGCTGGACCTGGATAGTTTTGTTTTGCAGGCTGGACCTGGATAGTTTTGTTTTGCAGGCTGGACCTGGATAGTTTTGTTTTGCAGGCTGGACCTGGATAGTTTTGTTTTGCAGGTTGGACCTGGATAGTTTTGTTTTGCAGGTTGGCCCTGGATAGTTTTGTTTTGCAGGCTGGACCTGGATAGTTTTGTTTTGCAGGCTGGACCTGGATAGTTTTGTTTTGCAGGCTGGACCTGGATAGTTTTGTTTTGCAGGCTGGACCTGGATAGTTTTGTTTTGCAGGCTGGACCTGGATAGTTTTGTTTTGCAGGCTGGACCTGGATAGTTTTGTTTTGCAGGCTGGACCTGGATAGTTTTGTTTTGCAGGTTGGACCTGGATAGTTTAGTTTTGCAGGCTGGACCTGGATAGTTTTGTTTTGCAGGTTGGACCTGGATAGTTTTGTTTTGCAGGTTGGACCTGGATAGTTTTGTTTTGCAGGTTGGCCCTGGATAGTTTTGTTTTGCAGGTTGGACCTGGATAGTTTTGTTTTGCAGGTTGGACCTGGATAGTTTTGTTTTGCAGGTTGGCCCTGGATAGTTTTGTTTTGCAGGTTGGACCTGGATAGTTTTGTTTTGCAGGCTGGACCTGGATAGTTTTGTTTTGCAGGTTGGACCTGGATAGTTTTGTTTTGCAGGTTGGACCTGGATAGTTTTGTTTTGCAGGTTGGACCTGGATAGTTTTGTTTTGCAGGTTGGACCTGGATAGTTTTGTTTTGCAGGTTGGACCTGGATAGTTTTGTTTTGCAGGTTGGCCCTGGATAGTTTTGTTTTGCAGGTTGGACCTGGATAGTTTTGTTTTGCAGGTTGGCCCTGGATAGTTTTGTTTTGCAGGTTGGACCTGGATAGTTTTGTTTTGCAGGTTGGACCTGGATAGTTTTGTTTTGCAGGTTGGACCTGGATAGTTTTGTTTTGCAGGCTGGACCTGGATAGTTTTGTTTTGCAGGCTGGACCTGGATAGTTTTGTTTTGCAGGCTGGACCTGGATAGTTTTGTTTTGCAGGCTGGACCTGGATAGTTTTGTTTTGCAGGCTGGACCTGGATAGTTTTGTTTTGCAGGCTGGACCTGGATAGTTTTGTTTTGCAGGCTGGACCTGGATAGTTTTGTTTTGCAGGTTGGACCTGGATAGTTTAGTTTTGCAGGCTGGACCTGGATAGTTTTGTTTTGCAGGTTGGACCTGGATAGTTTTGTTTTGCAGGTTGGACCTGGATAGTTTTGTTTTGCAGGTTGGCCCTGGATAGTTTTGTTTTGCAGGTTGGACCTGGATAGTTTTGTTTTGCAGGTTGGACCTGGATAGTTTTGTTTTGCAGGTTGGACCTGGATAGTTTTGTTTTGCAGGTTGGACCTGGATAGTTTTGTTTTGCAGGTTGGCCCTGGATAGTTTTGTTTTGCAGGTTGGACCTGGATAGTTTTGTTTTGCAGGTTGGCCCTGGATAGTTTTGTTTTGCAGGTTGGACCTGGATAGTTTTGTTTTGCAGGTTGGACCTGGATAGTTTTGTTTTGCAGGTTGGACCTGGATAGTTTTGTTTTGCAGGTTGGACCTGGATAGTTTTGTTTTGCAGGTTGGACCTGGATAGTTTTGTTTTGCAGGTTGGACCTGGATAGTTTTGTTTTGCAGGTTGGCCCTGGATAGTTTTGTTTTGCAGGTTGGACCTGGATAGTTTTGTTTAGCAGGTTGGACCTGGATAGTTTTGTTTTGCAGGCTGGACCTGGATAGTTTTGTTTTGCAGGCTGGACCTGGATAGTTTTGTTTTGCAGGTTGGACCTGGATAGTTTTGTTTTGCAGGTTGGACCTGGATAGTTTTGTTTTGCAGGTTGGACCTGGATAGTTTTGTTTTGCAGGCTGGACCTGGATAGTTTTGTTTTGCAGGTTGGACCTGGATAGTTTTGTTTTGCAGGCTGGACTTGCAGTAGGTCTACAGTGTACACGTATGGCCTGTGTGAATGTGTGAATGTGTGAATGTGTGCTGCCGATGCTGTCAAGGGGTTTAGCACCACTCTCAACATAGAGGCACTACCCCACTGACTGTCTTCCCCCCCTGCCTGTGCATTTACTTCAGGGAGTGTCCGCGTACGAAAGGTGTCTCCACAACCAACCTGGTGGGCAGGTAAGCTTTCCAGTTACTAGTAGTTGTTCTACAGTAAATTGTAGTCGGCCAGTAGTCGTCTACTCTTACTGGTGCTTGCCCTGGCCAGGGTGTGTCCCCACTGTCGCAGATGGGCTATAGCACCTATCTATAGCGTAGACGTGCAGTTTGTTGAAGTTTTTGGCCGAATTTTGGCTTTTTTTTTCTCAGAGCCATTAGGCTCTTCTCATGTACATTTTTTCAATAGAAACTAATTCAGGCCGGTTTTAGGATCCCGGTGCTTGAGGATTTTAGATGCTTTCGTTCCTCAGAGTGCGTATGCGTGCTGTTCTGTGGTGATAGCTCTTTGGAAGCTTTGGGGTAGTTGTACATTCAAATCTAAGTTTCGAAGTACGCTGTAAGTCTGCACGGAGCTTTTGTGTGGGTTCACTCATTGATGTTTGTGAAATGCACTATAGTTGAATGTGTTCCCTGCCGCATACTCGCTGTAGGTTCACTAGCACTTCTATATCACTAGTTCTGCTCCCTTGTGACATTGAACTATTCCCCCCCCCCCCCCCTGCTTCTCTTTGTGTCTTTGTGTGTAGAATGTTGCTGTTGACAAAGGAGCACCATCGACCAGCAACACCTACCCTTCAGGTGAGCCAGTGCATGCACTGGATTTCTGCTTAATATAGATCTACATCTGCACCTTGATCCTTAGCGGTGATGGTGTTCCTACGGACGCGGAAAACTCACTCTAACTGAGCCTCACATGAACCGAGTTAGAGCTGTGAACTGTCGGAATTATTGAAGTAGAGTGGTGTGGAGCCGAATATGAGTAGAGCCAATGCTGATACATGTACCAAACGTGGCCACCGCGTGACTGATGTCATCTGAGTGTGTCCTATTCCTTATTGTGTGTGTGTGTTGTGTGTGTGGTGTGTGTGTGTGTGTGTGTGTGTGTGTGTGTGTGTGTGTGTGTGTGTGTGTATCCCATATGGTGCAGTGGTATGTGCAGCGATTTCCAAACGATAGGTTGCGGGTTCGATTCCCGACGATTATGGTCACACACACACACGTCTTTCTTCTCTTTCTCAGACTCCTCCTGACTTTTCTTTCATTTTCCTGGGTGGTTACCAACAGCCAGTGCATGCCGGAGTATGTGGTGTGATGTGTGTGCGTGAAAAAAAAATGAAAAAGACCAAAAAAGTAGGGATTCACTGGCCAGAAAAAGCCACTTCATAGCTGTGTGGTGTAGACCAGGCTGAATAGTGGCGGTCAATTCTTCAGCCTTGCAAACTGTTGAATGGTGCAATCCCAGCACAAGCTGCTATGGCTTCTGCTGTAGCATCGCTATCATCGCCTCCGGCGATGGGCGTCAAATGGTCAAAATGGTGTGTGTGTGTGCGTGCGTGTGTGTGCCTCTCAGTCCCAGTCACAGGAGAAGTCGCCATACACGGGAACTTGTTCTGATTCCATAGACCTGACGGATGAGGTACAGCGAGACTTTCTCCAAGGACGTGAACCCAAGGTATGTGTCGTAATGTGTTTAAAAAATCAGTACACTCACATCTCGCTTCGGGACTGGGCGCTGCCCAAAACTTTGAAATATCCCTAACTCTGAATCACACACGTTCAAATGGGAGCGGGCCAGAGATCCGGCATATGACGTCACTATATTCGCAAAAAGAATGGCAAAGGAGTAGTGACATTTGCGCTAAAACTCACCTACAGGGTGGGTCCTAGTAGACCGAGGTTGGGATCAGAGAGATCTGAGTGTACATGTAACCTGTACAATGTCATGTAGATAGCGTGCATTGCATGGCATTGCAGTTTGGAGCTAATAGACACCCTTAGCAAACAACGGTATTGTTATTTTTACGGTACTCGTACCTTGATCACCCAAATAGCGTTGAAGCTGCAGCGTAAAAAAACGTTATGGGGGTTGATTTATCGTTTTGACAAACGGTACGTTTTTAGGCCAACTATTGCGTAGTGCGTACTGATTTCACCTTGGATCGCGTATATGGCGCAATTAATGGTTGTACCGCGCGAAATAAAAGCTATACTCATGGCAACAGCGTACTAAAATTAGCGTGCATCTTGTTAAAGGTCGAACCCAAATCTCGGTATTTTCCCCTTCCGATATAAATACCGTTGCAACATAGCGTTTTTTGCTAAGGGTGTCTAATGTTGATCAATACCAGTAAGTTATTTGAAAGCAATCTGCACATGGGTTGAGAAATGGGCATGTTTTTGGGGGAACTTTGTGCCCTTAATTTTTTGCGTCGGAAACTTGTTGAGCACCCCTCGTATACTCTAAAGTGTGTGTGTGGGGGGGGGGGGGATAAGAAAAGAGCCCTTATAAAGGGCTGTGGCACCCTCTTTCCAGGGCTCATGTCACATGTTACGTTGTATAGGTGTGTCTATCTCGGTAAAGGAGCAAGCTTTTCAGAACCAAAGCTTTCATGCACACTACATCAGTATTCAGAATTTCCACTTTAGAAATGGTGTCTGATGAAAGAAGCAGCACTTAGCCTCCCTAGTGCAGCTTGGCAAAGATGCAGCTATCATATCGTACTAATCCTGTTACACATACCGGTACACCTTGCATTAGTGCTAACCTATTGACTCAATGATCATATCCATAGTTTGCATTGTGGCGTGTTGACTTGTGTTTCTGCTGCTACTGCTATAGGAGGGTGATCGCGTTATCTACGTCGCTGGAGCATTCGACCTATTCCGTATCCTTTCACCACGCTCTCCTCCCAAGTTCTTACTGACTGGTGGAGTACTGTGCCGCTACCGCTATACAGTGTTGTGTTAATATGGACATGCACTGTGCACTGGTGTGGGTGTGGGTGGATGTGGATGTGCACATGTAACATGTAACAGGGCGATAAGAGTACGGAATAGTTTTGAGCATTCCCTCCTTTGTTTTTGATGGGAAGCTATTATTATAGATACGGGTTTTCTGTCGTGTTTTCCCGACCATAATAGGCATTGCAGAACTTGCATGTATATAATGTTGCCTGTCAGGATAGGCATGCAGATGTTGAATGCGGAAATAACTCTAGTGTTCACTGGGCCTTGTTCATAGTTGATGCTAGGCTGCTGGCAGCTAGTAAAGCATGCATGGTCTGTAGTTACTCTGTTCAAACCTTGACTGCATGTGTTTTCCAAGACGCTGGTCATGTGGAGTTTCTGCAGAAGGCAAGAGCCATGGGTGACTTCCTGGTCGTTGGCCTTCACAGCGACACGGTACGTTACGGTGTTACTTGTTCTGTTGTGACTGTCTGGCCTGCTACTCATGTTAGTGTGCATGTACATGTGTGCACGTGCTTGTAGCCTGCTAGCCATTGTGGTACTCTTTGTGCTCTCTCTCTCTGTCTGGTAAAGTGTTGCTGCGATCATGTTTTGTGTGTATTTATTTCTGCTAGGATGTGAATCGTTATCTAGGCAAGAATTATCCCATTGTTACACTGGTGGAACGAGCACTCAGTGTCGGAGCTTGTCGGGTAAGGTGTTACTTACATTGAAGGTGTGTGTGTGTGTGTGTGTGTGTATGTATGTGTGTGTGTGTTCGCCAGTTGTGTGGATTAGACAGTTATCTGGCGCAAGTCTTGACCTGTCTCATTCAGATCTTGTTCGTTATCGTTGCTATAAGAGAACATCTGTGGGTGCACATCCAGTGCATTTGCAGATTTGCGTGCTTCTCTTGCGACGGGCGTATACATGGTACATAATGTGTGTGTGTGTGTGTGTGTGCACCGGTATGTTCGTGCGAGTGTGTGTGATCTGAATGAACATATGCTATACGTTCCTATATTAAACCCCTTGCTCTACGAATACCTCTCATCAAAGGACGCTTCCACAATGTTGACACATTTCATCAGTCCCAAAATGTTCTCATTCAAAGCTAAGACTTCTGTTGTCAGGGCACCTCCTTGTCTCGTGTCTCGTATTGAAGCCTGTTTTGAATACAAGCCTGCTTTTTAAGATACACTGTCTGCACATAAGCCTGGTTTAGTATTGACATACTTAGAGATAGGTTGTTTGAATAGAAGCTTAGCACTGACATAGGCTGTACAGGAATAAGGACGGCTTTTATACGCGACATTACGGGGTATAACAAATAGATATGGGTTCCGTTTGCCTCGTTTAGAATTTGGTTAATTGCCTTCAACTATGTGTGCAACAGCTGTAGTGCAGGCTACAGACGTACTCCATGTGTGTGTGTGTGTGTGTGTTCTGATATGCCATCTGCAGTATGTTGACAAACTGATCTTTCCGGCTCCTTTCGTTGTGGACCAAGAGTTTCTGGACCAGGTTAAGGTGAGGAGAGAGAGAGAGAGAGAGAGAGAGAGAGAGAGAAAGAGAGAGAAAGAGAGAGAATTTGTATGTACATGATAGGCTTCTGGTCTAGGATATGTTTGTCCAAGACTGCAGCTTCTGCAGCTGGAAAAGACACCTCCACTATAAGCCTGCACACTAGGGTGGCTGTTGTTCTTACAGTCTGGAAGGGCCTGTTGGAATTCGACCGCATGCCACCACATTTGCAGCCTGGGTTAGCTGAAGCTATGACATGTGTCAATTGACTTGCTCAAGGTCACACGGTGGCTGCCATAACAATACCAGTATTTCCCCTATAATAGGCCGCACTTGATTATAAGTCGTACCCACCCTGTCAGGATTGAGTCATATTGTTTCAATAATTATTGTCACTTGGGTAAGATGTTACACTTGTTTCTTAGTTACATCCCCTTTCTTTGCCCTCCAAGTTACCGGTATGTGTAAAAAAGGTGCGACTTACATTCTGGAAAATGCGGTACCTCTCCTTGCCGCATTCTTCATGAGTAAATTTCTTTACTCTCCATTCACTTACCATTGAACATTCCCTTGATTGGCTATTTACCGCATCTTCAAGAAATATACAGTTGTGGCAAGCGAAATCCGACACTTGTGATTGGGGACAGCGCAACCAATGGACGTCAATGATGTAATGCACTGTACCAAATTTTGTAATTTTGTACATTTAATACAGCCGTATGCATCCCAAACAGGTCAAAAGGTCACAAGGTAGATACACACAAGGCCACAGATTAGGTGGACACAAGGAGTATTGGCATCCAGTGCCCATTCATATTTGGGAGCACTTTTGAACCCTTCATGTGAACCTTGACCGTGATCAGTACGAGTTCTGTCATGAGATCGAGACAGATAAAGGTTGTATGTAACACATGCACTACGTATGCAGGGCTGCACACTGTGTGGTACAGTCACTGTTTATGCCAAGTGTCGGATTTCGCTTGCCACAACTGCACACACCGGTGTATGGTGTATTGGTGTATGTAAGTAAAATCAATCAATGTATCTCTTCCTAAGAAACTATGAAAGTCAGAGAGTAACACAAAGCGTTCGCAGGCATCATGTCAGTAGGAAGCGAGCGAAAGGCATGGTTTGGCCAAACGATTCGTCTAGACGATTGAGGCAATGGATGTTCCAGTGCTTATCGTTATGTTAAATCCACTGATCCAACTGCTGTTGCTTGCTGTGTGCTTTGTGCTGTCTGCAGCCAACCAAGATTGTGCATGGGCAACACTATCGCGCAAGTTCAGATGTAAGCCAGCAGCTCATCCGTTAACACGTTCTTGGTCACTTTTGAACACTTGATTTCACCGTTATGCTCACTAGTGGTGTCACAGTCACTTGGCACGTTCTAGATATACATTATAATAGTGTAAACATTATATTTACACAATGGCAAACAAAGGCCTTTGCTGCAATTCATGATTTCATGACTTAACAACAAAAGTGTGCAACTCCACATAAACCTCCTGTCATGTACTCGTTTTCAGAATTGTTCCTCGCTGATGCAATGCACCACCTGACTGTATACCAAAGCGCAGTGTGCGGTGGTCAATCTTGCATCACAAGTAACTACCGGTACGTACACCTGGCTACATCACAAAGAATAGCTTAATTCTGAAAGCATGTTGCGACAGAGGTTGATGTGGAGTTCTCTGGCTGTTCTCTACTAATTGTGTGTGTGTGTGTCTGTCTGTCTGTCTGTGCGTGTGTCTGTGTGTGTTGCTTCTATTTCTTGTTCGTTTTGTATTTCTCACCTGCAGCTGAGCATGTATGAGGTGAGTTCCACATTGTGAAGATATTATTGTGTGACTGCTTCGCGTCCAGCGTGTACAGTCAAATCTGCCGTTAGCGACCTCTGCTGTAGGCGACCATCTACCGTTAGCGACCGATTTTCCGTGCACCGACGGTTTCACATACATATTGATCTGTCGAGAGCGACCATCTGCTGTGCGCGACCAGCGACCGCGATTTCATGCACGGTGGCTGCATTCAAATCTGCTGTAAGCGACTGCGACCCACGTTCAGTCAGGTGCGAAACTGTACTTGCCAGTCCGCTGTCAACTGCAAGGTGTGAAAATGCGCTGTCTTGCAAGTGCGATCGACTGGCCCTGGCGCCCTATTCGAATATCCAATAAAATATAATTAGGCCCAAACAAATAATGACCTTGTTTCCGGTCGGCCGACCGGGCCACTTTTTCCCAAATTCTGAAACTTTTTTTGGTCCCAAAATGTATACAAACGGTGGCAATGCCATGTGTGCAAGTGCACTCAACGAGTCATAACTCAGTCAAATCTCAACCGAATTCCAGAATCGAAACACCTACAAGGTAGCAGAGATTCTCAGCTGTCGGCTCGAAAACCTCCGGGGTCGATACGAGCTAGAATAACGGAGCTGGAAGGACTCGAACTGTTTGCTTGATTTCTCAGGATGTACGAAAACAGGAATACACCACATGCTGTACAAGAACAGTCAACTCTGACATTGGCCCTTGCCATGATTATGTACAATGTACATGTGTAGGTGCTCTTGTCCATCAATACCACAATGATTGAGGAACCAAAAAAAGTATCCAAAGAAAGTTTCATTCCGGCCGACCGAGTCTCCTTTTTGAGGGGTTGCCGACCGGAAACAAGCCTATTTTTTGTTTTGGCCTTATTATTAAAAATGACATTATTCTCGTCGATTTGAGTACATGGAAGCATACATGTATGCATGCCCGGTATGCCGGATTTACCATAGATCTGCCGTAAGAGACCATCTGCCGTAAGAGACCGCTTTTTCTTGCACCAAGGGGCGGTCGCTTACGACAGATTTGACTGTACTAGTATTCGTATACGTGTACACCTGTCATGCCAGGCTGGTCCACATTGTGCATGGTGTTCCAGTGTATAGGTTTGCATTTCACCTTCGGCAATGGACTATGTGCACAACCAGTCGTGTAAGCTTACCAGATGATGTTTGCCTCTGTGTTTAATCGGCATTGTCTTTGTGTTTGTATGTTGTGTTTCTCAGCTGCCAAAAAGACTAGGCATTTATGAAGAACTCAACAGCGGAAGCCCCTTGACAACAGAAATTATCATGAGCCGGATTATAAAGAACAGGTAGGGTATTTTTGAACCATTTTCCTTCGTGAGGAATTGTTTTCGTGGAGACAAGAAACCTGTCTACTTCACTGTCTTCGGACTTCAGCCTCTCAGCTATTGGCATTTGTTACCAGGAAACATCGCTACATTCATGTCAGGGTAACTAATGGTGTACGTAGTACAGTCAGACCTCCCACCATCACCTGCAACTCTATACTGGGATGCTGTGGGTCTTGGCTGAAATTTTAGTGGACGAATTATTTGCTTGTCCATGAAGTTTGGAACAAACCTAGAGGCTAGTTAAATTCATGTTAGCCCTGAATTTAATATACACTGTAGTCTGAAACCCTTCATATCTTTGGACGGAAATAACGACACAGCAGTTGTACAGTAGTTGCTGTGCTTGCACAACGTTATCGTTGTTTTTGCTGTGCTTTCTCTCCCGTGTGTGCCCTATATCCCATGCTGTGCCCGCTGTTGCTTTCTTTTTACTCGTGCTGTCTGCTCATCTGTAGGGGAGAGTTTGAGGAGCGCAATCGCAAGAAGCAGCTGAAGGAGTTGAATTACCTGGCTTCTTCGTAGTGTAGGGCACTCTGTGTGCGTTGTAGCTTGCATGGATCCCTGTGTCCGTATGGTCTATCAGATACCGGTAGGTTGTTTGCTAGTTTAATTCCCTTACAGAGAGGAAGATGGAACAAAGAAATATCTTATGCACTGAAATGCGACAAAGAAATTCTACATGACTTCGTCACCTTGCTAAGTCATAAGTAAGGTTCATGGACTTACTTTTTTTAGTAGACTTTACCACTCTACTATTCTACACTGAAAACAGGTTTTGATCAGATCGTGTTGCGCTTCATTGCCGGCAACCATAGACTTGCTTTTTCCCTACCCCTTTGCACAATACACATGTTTTGTATTTTTTTATTAGGTTCTGGTTATTTCCGCAAGCTATTCAACTCGCCGTGTCTTCTTTAGGTGTTGAAAAATTCTATTCGAATGATTTATTGCTACCGCTTGTTTTCTGCTCGTGCAGCCGGGCATGTGTGTATATGTGCTTTTCCGGCTGCTCGGTCTAACATTCCTTGTGGTTAGTTTTTTTTTTTTTTTTTTTTTTTTTCTTCCACTACATTGCACTGCTCTCGCTCTCCTATGTCTGTGTGAATGATTTCCTTGGTGCTGTACCTTAGCTTGTGTGCAGCTGTGTGTTCCCCTGTACCTACCGGGTACCCCAGGGTATGCTTAGACATACTTCAAACATTGAACTTTATTGGAATCCTTACATTGGCTTTTTTTAATATCATCAGATTTGTCATCTTTCTCCCGCTGTTCTTTAGAAAATAATTTATCGTTATCCGGATATGCAGCTGCAGGCATCCGTGCCATGTGTTTATCGATGGCTGTGTTTTTACTAGCTGTACGCCTTCTGGCTTTATTTTTTTCCCAATACACGTGTAATTCCTTTCTATTGCGCTGGACGTGAGGACGGGAGGTTTTCAAAAAAACCCGTCTCAGCAAGCACGGTCTGCTAGTGGCGTGTGCACTACAGCCCTGCAGGGGGTAGGGGTCTTTGCTCTGCTAGTTTCACAACTGTATTCACTGTCAGTCCATAATGGTATGCATGTACTGGTGCAGTTCCTGATGCCTTGCATAGTTATGTCACATAATTCACACCCGTGCACACTTCAGGGCGCCAATTTTCTTGGCGATCTTGGTGACCACAATCACAGCTTGCATCGATTCCCCAAGCTTCAGGCAACTGTCGAGGTGAATGCCGACGTAGCATGTGCACTAAAAGTTGTCTTGAACAGATTATAGCAGTGCGTGTGTGTGGTACTGGTAATATTCTCCTGGGTGATTGCTAACAACCGGACTATGCCGAAGTATGCGGTGTTATGTGTGTGGGGAAAAAAGGATTCACTGGCCAGGAAAAGCCACTTCGCTGTGTGGTGTAGACCACGGTAGACCAGGCTGAATAGTGATGGTCAATTCTTCAGCCTTGCAAGCTGTTGAATCATGTGCAATTCCAGCACTTCCCCCCCCCCCCTCTCCCCAGTCCCCACCCATTCTTGGTGCGCCTAGGTGGCCATGAAGCCCCCAGGTCGGCGACACGCACACACACACACACACTCACAAACGAAGCGAAAGTGTTCAAACTTTCGCGCGCTCTAGTCTACCAAGTGGGTCATGACTTTCACAATTTCAGATGCGACGAAACTTACTTGTGAGATTCGAAACGAACTTTCGTTTGAAGTTCCGTGACGCGTGAGATCGCGAGTGAACGTTCATCGCATGTTGCAGGTAAAAATTGGACTTGATGCAAAAATCCGTTCTGCTTTCCGCGTTCAACAGCTTTCCGCTTCGTCCGGATAGTTTTCAATGGCAGCCCGTCCGTGCATGAAAAATGTGTCCGGTCCGGACAGGATTCCACTTGTAATTGATTCAAGGTCCAGTAAATACAGTAATCACGTGACTCGATACTTCTGACATCAAGGGCCCCTGCGGATGACCCCAACAAGCGATGGGTCGACAATGTCAAAGAAGACCTCAAGCCTCTGAATGTGCCGATTCAGGATTGTCTCAATCTCGCCACCAACAATTAACTCTGGTTAACGATCATTGACAGATGCATGACCCCGTATAGCTTGTATATGCGGGCAATATGCGACCTGCTTTATTTTAAAAATACAGGTTTTACTGTGTGTCAGTACATGTACCAGGTAATCGCAAAAGGTTCCCTGGTCAGTAGGTCTACCATAATGATTATGACAATCGATGGCAGCATGTCATAAGGTGGAGGCCTCGAGGACACACTGCACTGAGTCTCAGAACAGTGTTCCAGTAACTCCGAGTAAAGCCGTGGAAAGTCGTTCACGACCACCCATGCCCTGTCCTGCTCGCTGGGCGGCTATCCCTCTCTCCGCCACAACGAGATTCGGGACATCACGGCCCACCTTCTCCGGGAAGTTGCCCATGATGTAGCCGTCGAACCCCATCTCCAGCCTCTCTCGGGGGAACACTTCCCCTTGAGATCTACCATCACCGACGACAACGCGCGCCTTGATATCGCAGTCAGTGGATTGTATGGTGGGCGGTTTGAGAGGACATTCCTTGATGTCCGGGTTTTCAACCCATTTGCCCCCTCAAACCAGAAGTCATCAATCCCGGCAGTGTACCGCAAGCACGAAAAGGAAAAGAGAAGAAGTTATGAGAGAAGAGTCGTTGAGGTAGAGCATGGATCATTCATCCCGGTCGTGCTCAGCACTACAGGTGGTCATGGTAAGGCAGCTGGCAATCTCTACGCTCGGATTGCATCAATGTTGGCCGATAAGAGGTCCGAGCCTTTCTCTATCGTCATGGCATACATCCGCACTCAACTGTCTTTTGCACTGGTCAATGCCGCAGTCACAGCCCTGAGAGGTCATCGGCACAAAGCGTCAAGAATCAACGGCTGCCCTTCGATCACGTTAGCAGTGGCAGAATGCAGCATGTAATGGTCAATCCTTGACTTAATTTGGTAATCGTTTTAGTACCTCGAACCCCGTGCTGAGTTTGATACGGTTTCTGGTCATGATCTTGGCCGTACTACGCATACTGCTTCTAGCGGTTTCTTTGGATTTTACTGATTGATTACTAGTATACTGTATTCATTTATCATGACGAGCACTGATTTTTGGCTTTTTTGATTTTCGAAGTCGACCCGAAAAAAAAAAAACATGCATAACACACTACAATATTATCGGCTATAGTGATAATACATGTTGAAATAATATCAAAGGCCCTATTTTTTTACTTTCTTCACGTTGCTTATTGACACATGTACATGTACATAACATAATTTTTTTAAAGTAAAGCCACAGGGCCTGATGCAGTACCCGCTAGAGTGCTGAGAAAATGTGCCGACTCTCTGGCCCTGCCCCTATCCAAGCTGTTTACCCTATGCTTCTGCAGTGGTCATCAACCTGCCATGTGGAAAGTTGTTAACGTCGTACCGGTACACAAGAAAGGCCCCAAGTCGAACCCCAGAAACTACTGACCGATAATTATTACTACTGCCCATAATGTCTAAGTGTATGGAGTCCATCGTGAACCGCAGCCTGTCCAAATTCCTGAAGAAGAATGACATCCTTTCTCACAGGCAGTTTGGCTTTCGCACTGGACCTCCGATCTGCTGATTGCTCTTCAGCATGAGTGGAGCCTGACAGCTGCCAGTGGAGACCTCGTCAGGATCCTTGCAGTAGATATTGCCGGGGCCTTCGACAAGGTCTCGCACAACAATGGCGTCCTCCACACGGCTGAGTGGTGCGGCATAAGCGGCCCCCTCCTTGCCTGGCTCCGGAGTTACCTGACAGACCGCCGCATCTGTGTCGTCATAGGCGACCAGTCTTCACCGACTCACCGAATCCAATCTGGCGTGCCGCAGGGTAGCATCCTCGGCCCCGCCCTCTTCCTTCTGTACGTCAACGACGCAGAAGACCACCTGCCTGATGGGGCGAAGCTGGCTGTATACGCCGACGACACAACTCTCTACAAGCGCATCACCACCCGACTCAGCCTGGCAGAAGAGACAGCAATCTTCCAGCAGGCAGTAGACTCACTGGCAGCATGGGGAAGCAGGCGGAGGATCAAGTTCGAGCCCACAAAGTTGAGGGCATTGACCATCAGCCACCACCGCTCGCCCCCCCCCCCCCCGAACGCAATACGCTTCCAAGGAGCAGTCGTGCCAGAAGTAGAGGAGCTCAAGCTTCTTGGCGTCACTTTCGACAGGCAGCTGGCATTCCGCAGCCATATCCGACAGCTTGCAGTATGCGGAGCCCAGCGGCTCGGCTTCCTCCGTAAGGCATCGGCTGTGCTAGACCCAAAGCACCGGGCAATCGTGTACCGTGGCTTTGTCCGCCCTGTGTTAGAGTATGGCATGCTGGTGTGGATGAGCGCAGTCCCCACCACCTTGGCCCGCCTCACTGCCGTCCAGCGCCGTGCTCTGCACATAATTGGAGACAGATCATACCTCCCGAGGCTCGACATTCGACGTACCGTAGCAGGGCTCTGCTTCCTGTACAAGCTGCACTTTGTGGAGGGTCCGGAAATGGTGAAAGCCATTCTGCCACCATCAGCAGCCGCACCGCAATGCCGCATGCCTACTCGTGAGACAACCAGATCTGCAGCACATCATCCCTCACAACTCACCAGTATCTTTCCTCCTCAGTCATGAAACAACACACTCCGCTCATTTCCCCACTCCCTCATCGCAACGTGGAATCAGCTCCCACCTACTCTTCTGCAGTCTCCCCCTTCTCGCAGAGGTATGCACACCTTCAAGAAAAATGTCAACGACCACTTGCGGCGCAGTGGGCCACAGACAGGTTATGATCTCTCCATCGTAGCCAACACACCAGCCTAATTATACTGACCGCACTCCAGCTCCCTTCTAGTTCTACCCCTCTTTGATCCCCTTCGCTCAGCCTTAATATGCGATTATCAGTTCTCTCCATCTTCCTAATTCCACGGTGCACTGCTTTTACTATTGTTATGTCCAGGGAGTACAATACCGTATCATCAGTGTACTACTCCCTGCTTATGTCCTATCTCAATCTCAAATTCTCCCCTTATCGTTTGCAAAGCCGGTGCTTCCCTCTTGGATGCACATGTTCTTTTCTCCTACCGGTATGTAGCGCACAGGAGTAACGATGATCCCGAGACCTTTGGTCGGAGGAGTTACTTTTGCCCCGCCCCCACTTCCATCCAATATGCCACCGCCCCCGCTGCGCAGCATCTGATGGTTCTGTGGTATTCAGTAAAAAAAAAAAAACCCGCCGCAACCAAGGCAAAAGCCATTATTTTTTTGTAAACCGGTTGGAAGAGTCCCGGTCTTGCGACCATCTGACCGTTTGGGCCTTTGGGGTCAAGCGGCCCCAGTTCGGCCCCTCTGTATTCTAGCGGACTCCGAGTGCGACTCCTGCATGCGATGACTCGCCGATGAGTCAAGAGTCGTTGTCTACAAGTCACCTCCCAAAAAAAGACGTGTGTCACCCTCGTCCATAGCGCTAGTAGCAGCACGTACATGTGGCGCGCAACAAGTAGTGAAGGTCTTCTCTGCATAGTCTGCAAGCGAACTGAAGTCGTGTGACTCACACCACTCCTCCCAAAAAATAAATACAACGCTACGAGCTCGTACCAAATAAAAGCAGACAACACCTCCTACTCATTTTTTCGGAGCTGACTTTGAAATAGGTTTTGGGTCAGGCTTGTTTGGTATTCACGGTATTCCACTTGGATAACTGACCAATAGAGCCAGCACCGTACCATGGCTGCGGGTCGCACTATGCCCATTCGGGAGCTTACCTTGTTCAATAACGGGTACGGTGTGTTCGAAAGGCAAACTAGCGTCTCCGGCCGCGGCAACATTGACCTGTTGTTCAGGGATGGTGAAATCCAGGACGTTCTGCAATCTCTGTGCTTCACGTGAGTTGAGCACACCTGGACACTATTCAGAAAATACCATTTCAGACAAGCACGCACGACTTCATGTAGTCGACTCTTGTTCCGCTACTAGGAATTTCGGATTTTGTTAGCCTTCAGCATACTGTAATTTCACAAGTTTTCGGTGTACTTTTATTTTTGGTACTTTCGGTGCATCTGTTTCATACCTAAATTTTCAATACACCAAACAAACACTAACACACATAATCCAATTGGGAACTGCTCCTCTGTACGTAAAATTTCAGTGCTCACCTAACCTGGCCTTATGCTGTCAAACCGAAAATATCATTGAGCACCCAACATTTCTGAAATTGGAGTACAGTCATGTATATGGGGGGGGGGGGGGGGGGAGCACGCCATTCCTCAAGCAATTGTACAATTATTTGCTAGGCTTTGGTCAACCTTACAAATGTGACAAATGACTGAGTCAGCCAATGGAGTCAGTGCTGTGTATGTGGTAAATCTACTGCAACCCAGATTACTGCAGTTTTGTATGTGTATGAAAATCACGGTTTGTTCAGCACACACGTACACTCAATGCCGCCGGCCTCTCTACTGGGATTATCAGACACTGCCCAAAAATCCACACTCTCTCCGAAAACCAATCCGAAAAGGAGCATTTCCAATTTTCGGCAGAAGTTTCAATGCCTTGTGATAAGGGTGACCACGATGTACATTGTTCGGATATTGGCAACCGTGGCCACTTTGCCGTCGGAAACTCAGTTACTGTAAATATACAAAATTTCGGCGCTGCAAAATTTCGGCACCTCACAATTTGTGACATTTCGGCGGCGATTTATTTTCGGCGTGGGGTAGAGGGCATGGTATAGTGCAACAGATGCTGTGAAAAATTTCATCGGCGTTTTAATTTAGGCGTTTTGGGTCGGTGCCGAATATAGCCGAAATTAAATAGCTGCCGAAAATTTGTATATTTACAGTACTCGTGTATTGCATGCGTAGCGACCGGCCACTGGAGAATGTGTCTGGTTGGAGGAATAACTTCAACTATACATTACATCATTAGCCACTGACAGTGACTCCTCAGTAGTCAAGCAGTCACAAACCCACGAAATTACCCTCGGAGTTGTGTTTGCAAAGCACACTTGCTTGCATTCCTAACTACATGTAGCTTACACCTCCCCGGTGTAAACGTGATATCCCCCCCTCTCTCTCTCTCTAGATCATAATGTACTGGTCTGCAGCAGAGAACTTTCAATGTCCGAATTGCTCCCCATTCTAGGGACAGAGTAGAGCAAAGTGTTGGCCGAGCAATGCGGAACGCGTCTGCTGCCAGTGTGGAGCAGTGGGAGAAAATGTGCCCATGGCTTTGGCATTAGTTTGAACAGGACAGCACATGCCGGCTAGTATTACACATATCGTGACACATCTCGTCGCAATGACCCTGCTAACTACCGGCCGATATCTCTGCTGAATGGTGTGGCAAAATGCTACGAAGCGTTAATCAGCCGCCAGGTGTACGCGTTTGTAGCGAAACACAAACTACTGTCGCCGAAACAGTTCGGGTTTCGCCACCACCGAAGCACGGTTGACCAACTTGTGCATATCACATCAACTGTCAGCTCTGCATTTGATAACCGGGCCCAGTGTGATGCCGTCTTTCTCGATTTCTCGAAGGCATTTGATCGTACCAGCCATCGCCTCCTAGCCTCATGTCTGTCCGGTTGGTGTGCACCTGACTCATTCGCGTGGCTGATGGACTTCCTGGAAGGCCGATCGATGTCTGTGCGGGTCGGAACCTCCTTATCAACCCATATGTCGCTCACCGCTGGTGTGCCACAAGGCTCCCACCTAGGCCCTCTATTATTCAACCTTTCTATCAACTCCCTTCCCAGCATTCCCCAATCCAGCGATCTGACTCTGTTTGCGGATGATTCCAACATGGTCTGCGTTTCTCCGCCTACTGTTGTACCCGCCGCGCACACTGCCTCCCTGCAACTAGACCTTGATAGATGTGTGAACTGGTCCCATAAAGCTGAAGCAGTTTTCAATGCTAACAAATGTGTCCATGTTCCCTTTTGCAGACCTAAATCAAACCCACCTGATCCCAGGACCGTCACCATGGCCGGTACGTTACTGACCCAGCCCTCTTCCCACCGCCATCTGGGCATCATCCTCACTCCTTCACTCAATCTGTCCCCCCATATTCAACACATTACCAGCAAATTTCGAGGTCGGGTTTTTCTTTTAAACCACATGTCCAACTTCCTTCCTTTTCCTGCTGTGAATCTTTTGTATAAATGTTACGTTCGTCCCCTCCTTGAATATGCTGTTCCCGTTTGGATGTTTTCCGTTTCAGCCACCATGTCCACAACCCTTGATAAACTGCAGGCTACTGCTGCTAGAGCATACTTAAATAGTAAACTCAAGCGTCGGCCTGACTGGACGACTTCCAAAGAAGACCTCAATGTTCTGTCCTCTTGGGAATCGTTAGCATGGCGACGGCAGATTCTTGGCCTTGTCTATTTCCACCATGTATTCTCCCAATACCCCTCCTTGTTGTCTCACTTCCAGCTACCCTCTTCCCAAAGCAGTCGTCACCCTTCATCCATAATTCTTCCTAAAGCTGGCACCTTCTTTCGTAAATCAACCCTTTTTTCTTTGAGTGTTGCCTGGAATAAACTTCCTGAAGATATTCGTTCACTCTCTACAACAGCGAAATTTAGTATTGCTGTTCGTCGGTATCATTCGCAATCTATGTTTTCTTTGAAAGGTATTCCTGACTTTTGTGTCTAGGCTAACCACATCTATGATAGTTTCAATAGTTTGTGTATATGTCAGTTATAGTAGTCCGCAATGCTGCTTTTCTAATTCTCATTATGATTAGCATGCAATGTACTACCCGAAGTACTGGATTTACTTCTTCTGTACTCTATATTCTAATGTATCTTCTACCTCTTCTCCCTTACGAACATACTTTCTCATTTTCCATACTTACTTAGGAGACTCCCTTCGATAGGCATCTATTTGCCTCTGGAGGATCCGTGAAATAAAAATCAATCAATCAATCAATCTCATTCACATGTAATTACATGTAGCAAGTGTTACGAACCGTGTTGTATGATTCTGTATTCATGTATGATTCTGTATTCATGTATGATTCTGTATTCATGTATGATTCTGTATTCATGTATGATTCTGTATTCATGTATGATTCTGTATTCATGTATGATTCTGTATTCATGTATGATTCTGTATTCATGTATGATTCTGTATTCATGTATGATTCTGTATTCATGTATGATTCTGTATTCATGCACATGTCACTGCAGTGGGTTTAGTAATCCTGGCTATAGCCGAAGATCTTTCCCATCTGTTTCTTTCCTTTTTTTGTTGCTATATAGCGGTGGTAGTCATGATGTTGGCAACATCTCGTACGAGTCTACCAAGCCACAGCCAAGCATTCGCCTCGATGACAGCACACCACTGGTGTCGCTCTTGCACGTGAGTACTGTGCCTAGGCTGCACAGGCGGGTATGCCCCGCTCTTCAATGTACACTCGGCTTGCACACACACACTTTGAACTGTGTGGACCGCAGCTGTACAACACACTGTATGGGCAGGCAAAGGCCACGTGTAAGGAAATCTACGCCTGCAAGAGGAGAAACTGATGATACACAAAACTGATGATCCACTTGACCACTAATCGTCAGTGCTCACAAGCTGCAAGTTCTGAGTTGCAACATCGGCATACAGCGGATCAGGGATATATTTTGGGTTTGAAGTTGCTCTGTGTCACGATTCCGGGCTTGCTCTGAGTACCAGTTCCTATCATGTGTTGTTTGAAAGGAACCTGCACACATAGCCATCCTGCAGTCTGAATGTATACACTCAGGTCTGAGAGGTCTGGCCTAGATAGCGACAGGCATCATATGTCACTACTTTTAAATGGTGACGTTAACCACCTGACATCATTGTGCTTGTGAGAGAGTTGCAAGTTTCCCTTTCAGATTTTCTTTTGGAGATAAGGCATGGGTGTCTAACTTTCTAGAGCACCTCTGCGGTTCTTCCTCTTCTTCTTGCGTACAGTCCCTGAGAGGAAGTCATGTTGCTCTACTTGTAAGAGATGACAAGGCCGAAGAAGGAAGCAAGGAAACTACCGAAGTGGCTGGTCAGATCTTAGGTGTGGACTCCAAGCTGTTTGGGAAAGTGGAAGGTTACTTTTTAACCATGTAAGTGCTGTGTGGGTAGCGTGGGTAGTGTGGGTAGTGTGGGTAGCGTGAAGAGAACAGTGCTGCACAGTATACTTGCTATCTATTCTACAACGTTGCTTCAAAAGTGATTTCAGGCCGTGTAAGATCATCCCCCCCCCCCCCCCGGACCCTTCTCGAGCCGCACAACACATTCCTGAAATGGCCTACCTCTGCCGGGGTAGTAATCAAAGAACCGTATTTTTTTGCTTGACTTTAACACCTACTAATGATTTTGCACATGCTCTGGAAGTGGCATAACCCCCCGCTGATTTTCCTCTGATATGCGTATTTGTATGTGGGCCATTGGTGCACTTAGGTTGGTGAGTGAAGGCTGCGTTCTGAAAACGATTCCTCTGTCAGAAATCATGGCGACTAAGTTGGTAAGGAATTGTGTAGTTAGGGATTGCGGGAATGCTTATTGTTGAATCATATGGCTGTATGTTAGACACGCCTGTAAAGACACATCGGAATGCCTCATGTGGAAAATCCTTGTTGGTGCTGCGTTGGTTAAGCTAGCTCAAACGTTAAATCCTTGGAAGTGAAAAGCCGTTACGGAAGAAATGCTGTTCTAAGTTGTCTTCAAGCATGAATAGATCCCAGAAGTGATCTTCGTATGGGCAGCGTTCTCGCCAGAGCGACATAGCGGGGCGCTGCGCCCTCCTTCACGTTTTGACCGCCCAATGATTGTGCCATCCTTCAGGGTGCGATCGCCACCTTTTATGCATGATGAGGATACATCATGCACATGTAGCAACACAACGTTATATGATTCATTGCATCAAAAATCATCACTTACCTCCAAATACCATATCAATGGCGGGTTCCAGTGACCGGTAAATAAATGCATGGAATGGAAGTGCAATAGTTGGTCCGTTGCTTACTGGTGTCGGTGAAAGTAGCGGCCAAAATGTCGGCACAAGATGTCGGTAAAATCACCTAATCTTGGGTCCGGTGACCCCCGCCGCCTTCACTTTTGTTCTGACAATAACCCTGATGGGGATACATACTGGTATGCTTTTTTGTTATACTTATGGAGCATCAAAGCCGGTTCGGCAAATTGCATTCGTGCCATTTCAAATGGCCATGAGTACAGCAAAAGACACGAGAACCCTGCCCATACAAATGCCGTTCCTGGGATCTATGCATGCTGGAGAACAATTCAGAACAGAGAAAATAGCATTTCTTCTGTAAGAGCTTTCATTTTTGAAAGCGGTTCGAGCTACTGAAGTACATCCACTTATGTTGGTGATTACCCGGCCTCGTTTCAACATAGTGTTCTAAGCCTCGTTTCAACATAGTGTTCTGAGCCTCGTTTCAACATAGTGACAATAGTGTTCTAAAGCCTCGTTTCAACATAGTGTTCTAAGCCTCGTTTCAACATAGTGTTCTAAAGCCTTGTTTCAACATAGTGTTCTGAGCCTCGTTTCAACATAGTGTTCTAAAGCCTCGTTTCAACATAGTGTTCTAAGCCTCGTTTCAACATAGTGTTCTAAAGCCTTGTTTCAACATAGTGTTCTAAGCCTCGTTTCAACATAGTGTTCTAAGCCTCGTTTCAACATAGTGTTCTAAAGCAGAGGAAAGAATCGTGTCAGAAATGAGTCATTTAATTTTTTTTACAAATTCTGTTGCATTCCTATGATGAAGTCTGGCAAGAAGCACTGGCAGAGCTGCTGGGCCTCTGCTGCACTCAAGAAGACGTGCAACTGCCGGCCACTACTTCATGCTGTTCTATCTGTGACCAGTAACCATGGCAACGCCAAGATAGGCCTTTGCAGAGTATTGTGCATTTAAGGTGTTTACTGGAGAGTCGTCTCTAACGTGTGGTTCGCCGCAATCATATTGCCTGTACGTGACGCGAGGAAATTGCCTCGATTCGCTGTGTCTCTTCCATGTCGCATCTAGCTGGAAGGTAACACAAAGGAGGATCTGCAGCACGCACTGGACCATGCTCAGACTGAAAAGAAGCCGGACATGCAGAAGCTGACGATCTTCTACAAAGGCGCCACCAAAAAGAATCCACTCACTGTAAAATATGGTCAGTAGAGTGTCTCCTCCGAATTTTTTCTAAATCAATGCTTTTTATTGATTACCTGGGATTACCTGGGACAACGAGTGGTATGGTCAATACCGTAATGACCCTAGCAATACCGTAGTGACCCTAGCAATACCGTAGTGACCCTAGCAATACCGTAGTGACCCTAGCAATACCGTAGTGACCCTAGCAATACCGTAGTGACCCTAGCAATACCGTAGTGACCCTAGCAATACCGTAGTGACCCTAGCAATACCGTAGTGACCCTAGCAATACCGTAGTGACCCTAGCAATACCGTAGTGACCCTAGCAATACCGTAGTGACCCTAGCAATACCGTAGTGACCCTAGCAATACCGTAGTGACCCTAGCAATACCGTAGTGACCCTAGCAATACCGTAGTGACCCTAACAATACCGTAGTGACCCTAACAATACCGTAGTGACCCTAGCAATACCGTAGTCACCATAGCAATACCGTAGTGACCATAGCAATACCGTAGTCACCATAGCAATACCGTAGTGACCATAGCAATACCGTAGTGACCCTAGCAATACCGTAGTGACCCTAGCAATACCGTAGTGACCCTAGCAATACCGTAGTGACCCTAGCAATACCGTAGTGACCCTAGCAATACCGTAGTGACCCTAGCAATACCGTAGTGACCCTAGCAATACCGTAGTGACCCTAGCAATACCGTAGTGACCCTAGCAATACCGTAGTGACCCTAGCAATACCGTAGTGACCCTAGCAATACCGTAGTGACCCTAACAATACCGTAGTGACCCTAGCAATACCGTAGTGACCCTAGCAATACCGTAGTCACCATAGCAATACCGTAGTGACCATAGCAATACCGTAGTCACCATAGCAATACCGTAGTGACCATAGCAATACCGTAGTGACCCTAGCAATACCGTAGTGACCCTAGCAATACCGCAGTGACCCTAGCAATACCGTAGTGACCCTAGCAATACCGTAGTCACCGTAGCAATACCGTAGTCACCGTAGCAATACCGTAGTGACCGTAGCAATACCGTAGTCACCGTAGCAATACCGTAGTGACCCTAGCAATACCGTAGTGACCCTAGCAATACCGTAGTGACCCTAGCAATACCGTAGTGACCCTAGCAATACCGTAGTGACCCTAGCAATACCGTAGTCACCGTAGCAATACCGTAGTGACCCTAGCAATACTGTAGTGACCCTAGCAATACCGTAGTGACCCTAGCACTATCGTAGTCACCGTAGCTATACCGTAGTCACCGTAGCAATACCGTAGTCACCGTAGCAATACCGTAGTCACCGTAGCAATACCGTAGTGACCCTAGCAATACCGTAGTGACCCTAGCAATACCGTAGTGACCGTAGCAATACCGTAGTCACCGTAGCAATACCGTAGTGACCCTAGCAATACCGTAGTGACCCTAGCAATACCGTAGTCACCGTAGCAATACCGTAGTCACCGTAGCAATACCGTAGTGACCCTAGCAATACCGTAGTCACCGTAGCAATACCGTAGTGACCCTAGCAATACCGTAGTGACCGTAGCAATACCGTAGTGACCCTAGCAATACCGTAGTGATCCTAGCAATACCGTAGTCACCGTAGCAATACCGTAGTCACCGTAGCAATACCGTAGTGACCGTAGCAATACCGTAGTCACCGTAGCAATACCGTAGTGACCGTAGCAATACCGTAGTCACCGTAGCAATACCGTAGTCACCGTAGCAATACCGTAGTCACCGTAGCAATACCGTAGTGACCCTAGCAATACCGTAGTGACCCTAGCAATACCGTAGTCACCGTAGCAATACCGTAGTGACCGTAGCAATACCGTAGTGACCGTAGCAATACCGTAGTCACCGTAGCAATACCGTAGTGACCCTAGCAATACTGTAGTGACCCTAGCAATACCGTAGTGACCCTAGCAATACCGTAGTCACCGTAGCAATACCGTAGTGACCCTAGCAATACCGTAGTCACCGTAGCAATACCGTAGTGACCGTAGCAATACCGTAGTCACCGTAGCAATACCGTAGTGACCCTAGCAATACCGTAGTGACCCTAGCAATACCGTAGTGACCCTAGCAATACCGTAGTGACCGTAGCAATACCGTAGTGACCCTAGCAATACCGTAGTCACCGTAGCAATACCGTAGTGACCCTAGCAATACTGTAGTGACCCTAGCAATACCGTAGTGACCCTAGCACTATCGTAGTCACCGTAGCTATACCGTAGTCACCGTAGCAATACCGTAGTCACCGTAGCAATACCGTAGTCACCGTAGCAATACCGTAGTGACCGTAGCAATACCGTAGTCACCGTAGCAATACCGTAGTCACCGTAGCAATACCGTAGTGACCCTAGCAATACCGTAGTCATCGTAGCAATACCGTAGTGACCGTAGCAATACCGTAGTCACCGTAGCAATACCGTAGTGACCCTAGCAATACCGTAGTGACCCTAGCAATACCGTAGTCACCGTAGCAATACCGTAGTCACCGTAGCAATACCGTAGTGACCCTAGCAATACCGTAGTCACCGTAGCAATACCGTAGTGACCCTAGCAATACCGTAGTGACCGTAGCAATACCGTAGTCACCGTAGCAATACCGTAGTGACCCTAGCAATACCGTAGTGACCCTAGCAATACCGTAGTGACCGTAGCAATACCGTAGTCACCGTAGCAATACCGTAGTCACCGTAGCAATACCGTAGTCACCCTAGCAATACCGTAGTCATCGTAGCAATACCATAGTGACCGTAGCAATACCGTAGTGACCCTAGCAATACCGTAGTGACCGTAGCAATACCGTAGTCACCGTAGCAATACCGTAGTGACCCTAGCAATACCGTAGTGACCCTAGCAATACCGTAGTCACCGTAGCAATACCGTAGTGACCCTAGCAATACCGTAGTCATCGTAGCAATACCGTAGTGACCCTAGCAATACCGTAGTGACCCTAGCAATACCGTAGTCACCGTAGCAATACCGTAGTGACCCTAGCAATACCGTAGTGACCCTAGCAATACCGTAGTCACCGTAGCAATACCGTAGTGACCCTAGCAATACTGTAGTGACCCTAGCAATACCGTAGTGACCCTAGCACTATCGTAGTCACCGTAGCAATACCGTAGTCACCGTAGCAATACCGTAGTGACCCTAGCAATACCGTAGTCACCGTAGCAATACCGTAGTGACCCTAGCAATACCGTAGTGACCGTAGCAATACCGTAGTGACCCTAGCAATACCGTAGTGACCCTAGCAATACCGTAGTCACCGTAGCAATACCGTAGTGACCCTAGCAATACCGTAGTGACCGTAGCAATACCGTAGTCACCGTAGCAATACCGTAGTGACCGTAGCAATACCGTAGTCACCGTAGCAATACCGTAGTCACCGTAGCAATACCGTAGTGACCCTAGCAATACCGTAGTGACCCTAGCAATACCGTAGTCACCGTAGCAATACCGTAGTGACCGTAGCAATACCGTAGTGACCGTAGCAATACCGTAGTCACCGTAGCAATACCGTAGTGACCCTAGCAATACCGTAGTGACCCTAGCAATACCGTAGTGACCCTAGCAATACCGTAGTGACCGTAGCAATACCGTAGTGACCCTAGCAATACCGTAGTCACCGTAGCAATACCGTAGTGACCGTAGCAATACCGTAGTCACCGTAGCAATACCGTAGTGACCCTAGCAATACCGTAGTGACCCTAGCAATACCGTAGTGACCCTAGCAATACCGTAGTGACCGTAGCAATACCGTAGTGACCCTAGCAATACCGTAGTCACCGTAGCAATACCGTAGTGACCCTAGCAATACTGTAGTGACCCTAGCAATACCGTAGTGACCCTAGCACTATCGTAGTCACCGTAGCTATACCGTAGTCACCGTAGCAATACCGTAGTCACCGTAGCAATACCGTAGTCACCGTAGCAATACCGTAGTGACCGTAGCAATACCGTAGTCACCGTAGCAATACCGTAGTCACCGTAGCAATACCGTAGTGACCCTAGCAATACCGTAGTCATCGTAGCAATACCGTAGTGACCGTAGCAATACCGTAGTCACCGTAGCAATACCGTAGTGACCCTAGCAATACCGTAGTGACCCTAGCAATACCGTAGTCACCGTAGCAATACCGTAGTCACCGTAGCAATACCGTAGTGACCCTAGCAATACCGTAGTCACCGTAGCAATACCGTAGTGACCCTAGCAATACCGTAGTGACCGTAGCAATACCGTAGTCACCGTAGCAATACCGTAGTGACCCTAGCAATACCGTAGTGACCCTAGCAATACCGTAGTGACCGTAGCAATACCGTAGTCACCGTAGCAATACCGTAGTGACCGTAGCAATACCGTAGTCACCGTAGCAATACCGTAGTCACCGTAGCAATACCGTAGTGACCCTAGCAATACCGTAGTCATCGTAGCAATACCGTAGTGACCGTAGCAATACCGTAGTGACCGTAGCAATACCGTAGTCACCGTAGCAATACCGTAGTGACCCTAGCAATACCGTAGTGACCCTAGCAATACCGTAGTCACCGTAGCAATACCGTAGTCACCGTAGCAATACCGTAGTGACCCTAGCAATACCGTAGTCACCGTAGCAATACCGTAGTGACCCTAGCAATACCGTAGTCACCATAGCAATACCGTAGTGACCCTAGCAATACCGTAGTGACCCTAGCAATACCGTAGTGACCCTAGCAATACCGTAGTGACCCTAGCAATACCGTAGTGACCCTAGCAATACCGTAGTGACCCTAGCAATACCGTAGTGACCCTAGCAATACCGTAGTGACCCTAGCAATACCGTAGTGACCCTAGCAATACCGTAGTCACCGTAGCAATACCGTAGTGACCCTAGCAATACCGTAGTGACCCTAGCAATACCGTAGTCACCGTAGCAATACCGTAGTCACCGTAGCAATACCGTAGTGACCCTAGCAATACCGTAGTCACCGTAGCAATACCGTAGTC